CCTGCTCTTCTCCCTAAGTGGGAGCCTGTGGGATTGCTTCTCCTGTCCCCACCATCCACTTGTTGGTGAACGTGGGCACGCAGCACACCCAGAGCTGTTTCCTCTCCTCTCCTCTCCTCTCCTCTCCTCTCCTCTCCTCTCCTCTCTCCTCCCTTCTTCTTTCCTCTCCCATCCCCTCCCCTCCTCTCCCCCCTTGTTGACACCATTGTGTTGCCATATGCTTTGCTTGGGCACACTTCCCAGCTCAAACCAAACTTTCCAGGATCCAGAGAGGGAAGCTGACCCGGCAGCACTGCTCACTGATCCTGCATGGCTCCTCCTGGTCCCCCAGCACTGCAGCAGAAATGTCTAATTAGGTATGACAGAGGAATAGATATGCATACTCAGGGATCTTTCTACACAAGCATAAATTAAAGGGAAGCAAATATTTATTTTAAACGGGCATGCCATAGCTGGCAAAATGCTAATTTGCACAGAAAAAAACACCCTGTAAATAAGCTCCCCAGAAGCACCTTGCATTCACTGAGCTTCATCTTTCTGAGCAAACTAACAAGAAAATAAAATCAACTGCATCTATTATACACTCCCTTCAATAAGAAATTCAGACAAGCTTAGGATGACATGGGCCAGTGCCTTTGAAGCTATCAGCTGCCGCCCCCGGGAGCACCGCAGGCTGTTTGTAAGGTGCCTACAGAAGGTACTGAAGAAAATCAGACTTACAGGATTCAATTCACAGCTCAGGGATCTTCAGCCTCAGTAGGGAAAATGCTAGGGGGCTGCAGATCAAAAGCACTGAAAAGCACTACTGCACCCTGTAGGACCAGGACCGGGAGTCGCAGGGGTGTCTCTTCTACCGACCCAAGGAGCCCAGGTAAATCACTTCACCTCTACCTTCCCCTACCATTCACCCCTGCAGTGCCCTGTAGGAATCACAGCATCTCTCCTTGTGCATGGAGCAGTACCCAGTGCAACAGAGCCCTGCGCCCTCCAGGAACGCATCGCCACTGACATCCACTTGCTCTTCTAGCCTTGGAGGAACACTGCAGCCCCAGCTTACCCCAAAGCTCAAGGACGGGAAGCAAGCTATTAGGATTTCAAATTCCAGGAGACGAAAGGCAGATCTTGCAGTGGCCATAACAAAACTGCCCTGGGAACTGGCACGTTTTTAGGCAGGAAGGCAGGCGATGAAACCCATCAGCAGCACCTGAAGCTGGCTCCCTTTGTTCTCTGAGCCGCTCCCATCCTCTCACAGACGTTCTCCTCACTGGCAAGGATGCAGAGACCACCACTTTCATCAACATGCATACTGCAGTGCTGTCAGCACCTCCTTAAGGTTATTCCCTTTTTCTTTTCGCTTATATTTATAAACCCTGTGCAGAGTTGCTATGGTTTCTGATACCGTCAGTCCGATTGGTATTCAGCACGTTTCCTCTCACCTTCACCATTCCAATGACCTTTACTTCACAAGGAGGATCTCACGCCATCAGCCCGTTCAATTAGATGTCACACAGCACTGTGTGAGAACACCCACTGCCAGGGCAGAAGAGGGCTCTGTGGAACCAATTCATCTGCAAAATGCCGTCTCTCAGATAAACAATGGTAATTATTTCCATGCAAATTGGAACCAGAAAGTGCAACCCAGCAATGCAACTGCTAGACAGAGAGGAAAGCCACAAGAAGAAATTTCAGTTGCTAACATCTCAGATACTCTGGTGTATGTTCCTACCTTTCTCGTTCTGCAAAGTCAAGTTAAAGAAGCTCTTATTTCCAAGACAGTTTCTTTTACATCCATTGAACAACTTATGCAAGGGGCTGCTCGCAAATGGGAGCAACACAGCTGTAATCTGCTACTAGGAATTTGTCTCCTTGTTAAACTAATATTCTATTTTAAGAGATCTTGCACAAAGCTCTACTAGTTACTGGACAAGACAGACAAGCGGGATGCATTTGGATGAAAATAGTCTCCAAACACAGCAGTGCTGGGAATGGTCTCAACACCTTCATGTGCCAGTCAGACCACGCGATCCCCAAAGCCCTAAGCCAAACATGAACAAAACCCTCTAACTCTGAGAAAATGGCTTCTCCCTAACTTGGAGGAGAAATGTTCCTACTACAACAAAGACATAAAACCACAAAAGCCAGAAAATGGAGCTTGATCATGATACAGCCCTAGCCCTGCCCTTGCAGCAGGGATGGGAACTTAATCTCTTCACAACAGAACCAAAGCTTTTCTAATGGCAGTTTCTTCACTGTTGAGGAAAACGTTCTTGCATTTGGGCAATTGGCTTTGCCAAGACATCTCATTCCACATGCTCTCAATGCTAGGAGAGGCCTTTTAAAGAAGAACAGGAAATTCCCTGGAGCTGTCCAATACATATAAGGAACACGATGCTTCAGCTGGCCAGAAGTCAGCTCTGTATTGCACTCAGGTTGCTCTGAACAACTGTGTATGCAGCCAGTAGGTCAGATGGACAGCTCACCCCTGGTCTGTGAGACCAGGCAGGCTTGGAATGTGGAGAGCACCACACAGATCTGTGCTGTGCAGACAAGAGGACATCACTTGCTGCTGCAGCTCTGCTAGCTAAGGTTCAGATGGAAGTTAAGCTCTGAAATGCAGGTGATCACAGCATCTGCAGCCATGGCCAGCCTTTCATGCTATGCTTTCATGGAACAACACGGGAGGGGAAAAAACCCACATGCCCTGCCTTCTGAAGTGTCCCTCTGCCATCAGCTTCCCCCAGCAGGTGGTCCAACATGGGCTGTGCAAATCAGATAAGACCATCCTTCCTCCCAGCCGTGGGGAAAGCAAGCTCCTGATACTTATTTCTGACTACTGGCCGGTAGTTACAATTACCTGGAGAGCATCAGGTCTTTGTTCAATCAACCTTTGCTGTCACCAACCTGGGTGGTTTCATACAGCCCATTTGTTCCATCAGAGGGCTATTGAGACTGCTCCTGCTCCTGCCTGTGCCTGTCGGGCACACCAGTGGTACCAGTGACACCAGTGAGTTGATTTTGCATCCCCAGGATCCCTCCTTCCTCAGTGGCACCACCGTGCCACCTGCATTTTCATCATGCTCAGAAAAAAATCTCTGCCCATCAGCTGATCCAGGAGAGCCTATTCCTAGAACAGACAAAAGTTATTTCTCTGGTTCTTCTGCTGCTTTTACCTCCTCGTGTCCGGATTGTACAGCTCGGTCTTTGCTCGCTCGATGGAGGATTTCTTTACATCACACAAGTCTTTTAATCTTTTCCATGATCAAAACAAGTTGGAGCACCTTTCCTATTGTGCGGTCTCTTTTAAACTGGGGTGAGCTGAACTTTCTATGCAAAGATGTGACCTCTCCTGAAATCCCTTGATCAGCAATTTCCCTTGCTCTCTCTTTCATGTCGGAGGCATTATGAAACACTGGAAACTACACATACTTCCAGAAGGAAGTTAGTGAGAAAATTCAAATAATCAACTCGGCCCCAAGAGATGTGGGGTCTCTTTCCAACTTTGAAAGCTCTTTCCTAATAGAAGTTTTGCTTTTGAAAGTCTTCTGTTGAGCAAGCAGCTGAAGATACAGCTTCTCTAGAGTCTGATTATACGTTCAGCCCAGGGGCAAGCAATAAAAAGCCTGCCCAGTGCTGTGAGGTCTGAATCAGGTGCTAACACCGAACATGTGCTGGAGCCTCCACTTTCCTCTCCCCCAGTGCTGGGCACTGGAACATTCACCATTTTATAGCCTGTGGCAATGAAAGGCCAATTTAAGAGGGAAAGCATTGCTGACAGTGTTATCCAAAAAAAGCCAGGCTCTGCTTTAACTGCTCTCCGCCCAAGACTTTGGTGAATCCAACACCACTGTGACATGCTGAAAAAATCTGCTTTGTACAGCAGCCTTTGGAAGCAGCTACAGAAAAGCAATCACAGGCCCAGAGACAGACAGACTCTATATGTACATTTATTATTTCATACAATCAAATTGCTTATTGTACAAAACTTAGCAGTGCCACCCAATAGGGCTTTCACAGACATTTAGAAAGAGACATGTAAACACAGCTTTAGAACTCGATTTTATGTCACATAGGTACAAACTTGTGTGCATATACACACACACGGGCGTGTACGCAGCTCTATCACAGACCAAACAAATAGTTGCAGCAGGCTGTGAGATGCTACTACATTGTTCTCTAATGAATCAAGCATCCTTAAATGAGGCTTTCCCCCAAAGGGACATGAGTTGGACTTGCATTCCTCCCACTGTTAGCCTGACCTTCCTGCTTTAATTGCTTCTTGCTACATCCCATTGATGGCTCTTTTCCAGAGGCAATGATTTAACCTTCAAGCCCACCTTGCTGAGTGCAATGGTGAGACTGGGTGGAGATGAAAGGGCTGGCATTAGGGCTACACACCTACACTGAAGAGTTTCGGCATGAAAGGGGTGGTCTTTGTCTTGTGAGCTGCCTGATCTACAGGAGCCTGCTGTAACACTCAGCCATTGCACAGAAAAGTATCTATGGCCTGGAAACATTCACTTTGCTATTCTGCAGTAGAAAAGAATGATTGGACCTGTGCAGAAAAAGCACTTTTAAGGTACAAATGATGATTTTTAGAGAAAAACTGCAGCACCCAAATAATTCCCACTAGAAGGAATGTCCAGTGTAGTGAATTCTGCTTACCATGTAAGAGGTTAGTTCAACACCTTGAGGGAAGGAATGACATTTCTGCTAAACATTGTGCTTTCAACGGCAGCAAGGGCCCTGCTGCTTGCAACATGAAACTGAGAAAACTGGTACTTACATCTTCCTAAGTAGCAACTGCTGAATCCAGCACTGCTCTCGGGCAGATGAATGGTGTGAGTTATTGGCATTCATGTCTATTTCCTTCTAGATCTTGCCTGTGTAGAGTAAGCTCCTTGGGCAGTACTTGTCTCACTAGGGAGAAACCCTGAAGTGCTAATCTGGCACTGGCCGCAGAAGATTCTTACAGCTTTCCTCATTTCTACTGCAGTAAAACAAAAAGAAAAAAGAAAAAAAAAAAAAAGGAAAAAAGAATAATAGCTTCAGCCTACAGCTTTCATAAGGAAGAAATGACACACTGTGGCAACGCTTTCAAAGCTTTCTTTCTATAAAGGTCCAGCTATTCCCTGGGAGGAACAGACTGGACCTGGTAGTAATTTAGCCAAAAATGATAGAGTCAAATGCAGCTTTGCGCTTGCTCATCTTCCAGGGCAGACAGAATTGCTTCTTTCTAACAGTTGCAGATATTGTGAAGAGCAAAGGCTATACTGTGCAGTTGGTGCAAACTGGGCAGGCAAAAAGTAACTGGAGCTTTTATTCTCTCTGTAGGTGAAAAGGGAAAAGTTGATGTTCATCCTGTTCTAATCTCCCTGGTCAAGATCGTAACAAAGCGAGTGGAGATACTCTGTCCTTGGAAAGATTGGGACAGCAGTTGTTTTTCAACCAGTCTGGGGGCACCAGAAAGCACATTTCTGAAAGGCCACATGAAAACAGGCCTCTACAGCCCCAGCTGTCTTGTGTCAAATGCAGGATTTACAGAATCTCTGTGGTATTTCTTCATGCAAATTAGTGGAGCCCTTTAAAATGGCATGATCCATCCAAGCTGTGGACTTTACAGAGAGAGAAAGAAAAAGGACTGCTGACAGACAAAGCAGAGAAGATACCACAACCACACAAGTTGCTCACATAATCAGAAGGATACAGCAGAATTGTCAATCACATATCCTGACTGTCCTTGCTCCCAAACAGCAGACTTGCTCAAGAAACATTTACGTTAGTGGTTCACATGTCATGGCCCAAAAGACCAACGTGCTGGATTACAAACATTATTTGGCAAGCACCAGCAAAAACATATACTCCCATCCAAGATGCGTTGGGTGATTCTGAATACTTGGCTTCATTTCTGATCAAGATCAATTTCTTACTCCAGCCTACGACACCTGGCTATGTCACCACAAGTCTCAGCAGAGAGCCAGAGGGTGCAGAACTCACCCAACTGCAGGACAGCTCGGATCAACCAAGACACTTTGAGTCATGCTTACAAAATCACCAAGAATTTCAGAGCTTGCATATTCCTCTGTAAATTTTACCTATCCTTCCCATTCCTTCATTAGGAAACCCACATGAGTCAGACGCACAGTCTGACGCCGTGAAAAGCCCGTACTGTCAGCATCACAGTTACATTCCAGAGAGGGGATTTATCATGCTAGAGTTTATAACCTAACCCTTCTCATCCCTGCACTTGTGCTTGGGACAGGAAGAAAAACATAAGAACATAAATGAGATTGTACAGATTACTTTTCCCTAAATTAATTGCATTTACACATTTTAAGAAACCTTCATTTAAGAAGTGTAACAAAAATAGTTCTGCAACATAAACAAGTGCAAATACTATTACTTAGTAAAGCTTGGAAAAGGCTCAGGCCTAACTAGAAGACCTGGAATTCCACAGCCATGCATTTTAAGGACATAGTAGTGTCTTCACTATTGTTATTTAAATAACATTTAGAAAGCAAAGTTCAAGATTCTACATAAATGCACAATATAAAGTCAAAGTGCCTACTGGTCAAACTTCAAAGTGCCTAATGGTCAAAGTGGTACAAACCATATTCATCATGGAATGAAAGCAATCAAGGTCCTTTCCTCTCCTTCTCATTACCACTAGGAGAAGTCACAGGTAACATCATTCCAATCTGAAGTGACATCAAAGCCAAATGCGTGTACAAGAGAGGAGAGCTGAGCATGCATCTTGATGGAAAACTGATCCTCACTTCCTCTGTGTAAATGCCAATTAATCCTCAGGCTTTGTTCTGGACATCCAAGCAGAAAACAGCACCAGGAAACACTTCGATGCCACGTTTGGGGGAGGCAGTCAGCAGCCCAACAGAACACAGCACTTGGAGCAGGGGGTAAGCGAGCCCTTGTTAGCTCCTCTGGAGTCACATTCCCCAGCTGATTTACTGATTCTAGCCACGAGAGATGAGTACAAGGAGGTAAACAGCACTGCTCTTCATTGGGAAAATAAGGTGGTTATTCTCAGAAGTATATTTATTTCCTTTCCATTTGTCTGCTTTTACTATTTCAGACTTTTGTGTTTTTTTTTTTAATTTTAACCATATCACTCCCTTTAACGGCAAACAGAGTTTAAAAGATCTTGTCACCAGGAAGGGGTGGAGGTGGGACAGGGAGAACAGCAGACCTTTTATTAAACCTTTGAAAAATTTTCTAACTCACATTGCAAGTGAAAACAACAAAAGCCATAAACTCTCACAATGGAAAGCTGTCGGTGAGATTAAGCAGATCCAAACTCCGCCATCCATTTCTCGTACTTCTCCAGGTCTGCAGCAGAAACAGATTTGGAGATTTTCTTCAGAGCCAACTCAAAGTCCCCCTTGGTAACTGGCATCTGAAGCTCCTCTTTAGAAAGTGCCCGAATCTCTTCTGGAGTTAAGCCGTTAATACGCCGTCTCATTGCCATTAAAGAGGCATCCCTGGAAATACAGGACAATGCATGGGAGCTAATTGCTAGCAGCATGCGCCGTAAGCCTATGAATTTTGATTGTATTCTCTTGCTAGAAACCACTGGCAGGAACACTTCAGAGAGCATTTATTTACCAGAGAAGATGCGGTTCACATCTTTGTTAGCATTTGCATTCCCAGATCCCAACATTAATTCAATATAAAGAATGCACTGGCACCAAAACTCATTTAAGCATATGGCAAATGAACAGAGATAATTAAAACTATAAAACTGAAAGCATTTTATAATGATTCATAGAGATGAAATTCGACTTCTTCAGCACAGGAAAGGGCAGGGCGGGAGAAGAACTGCACTGAAGGATTTTTCTTTTTCTCTTCCAAAAGTGCTCTGGATGTTGCAGATCTCTTCCCATGCCATTACGATTTCAACATCCTCCCACATGCAGCACTCAAACACTGACACCACGTGGCCCTGGGGCTGAGGCCATCGGTACCTGTGGCTCCCTATGCTCTACCTGTTCCACCACTCCTCCCCAGCTCTGGAGCCGTCAGCATGGCCCACTGCCACAGAGAGCACTGCTCATTTCCACACCACAGCCCACACGCAGTTTGAAATTACATTTTCTCCTTCCCCGAGTTCTTTCCCAGTGGGGGATAACACAGGCCTCAGGGAGAGCAGGTAGTTTAACTACTGCACTGTGTGAATACATACCAAAGTTTTCAAAACCGTGGTGCTGCTTCACAATTTCAACAAAGCAGCAAGAAAATATATTCCCAAGCCATGTTCTTAAAGGATCAGTTCCACTTGGCAGGGATCCTATCTCTATAAGGGATGCAGAGTTCCTACTGATAAGTTTTTCAAATACCCATCCTCCTCCAGAAAAGCCTCATTTTTCAAAAATTGAAACAAGTTGTGGGAATGTGATGGAAATGAATTCAATACTAATGCTATACATTAGCTGTAACATGCTCACATGTATAACATCCAGGGAGAATTTAAGACACTGCTGCACTGGTGGTTATCCAAACATAAAATGTGTCGAAGCCCTAAAGAAGCAGTCTAGGAGATGTTCTTTTCTATCACAGAACTACGAAATTCTAGCTGTTGATCTCATGGGATTTAGAAAAAAGAATCCAAACCTATTTTGCACTAGGTTAATAAACATTTGGTTAATGCAGACAAGGGTAACACACAAGGAGATTTGCTCAGATAACTTTTACTTAAGATCTAAGCAAATTTTATGACATCTCATGCAAAACAGTACGGTGTTTAGACTGCTCCAGTAATGCATGGTTCCAGGAAACAGATTTGGGCCCCCCAAATATTCACAGTTAGCTTGTTTCAGCTGCTGTGGGTATTGCTTTTTTTTTAATCACATAATGCAAATGATGACTTGACACGTGGTCTCATTTGCAAATTAAGGGAAAGGAGATACCTGCAGACATTAGTGATGTCAGCACCAGAATAGCCTTCAATCTTCTCAGCAATTTCTTCAAGGCTGATGTCAGGATCGAGCTCTACTTCCCGAAGATTAATCTTAAGTAGTTCTGCTCTGCCTTTTGCTACAATGTAAAAAGGTGCATTTGAAACCTTGCAAACATTATAAACAAAACACGAACAATTTAGATTTTTCAGTGAAGAATACAAAGAAAAGGGTTTGATACAAGAAAAAGAATGGGACAACGAATCACAGTAAAGTGTGGAATCAAATACAGTAAAGGATAAGGTTTCAATCTGTATATTAAACTAGTGCATTCAAAAGACATTTTCCAAAGCTGTACATCATTAGAAATGCCTGTTATGTCTCAGGTGACAAAGCATTTGGTGACATGCTACCCAAAGGCACTAAAGCACAATCGCACAAATATCTGCTTCTTCTCATATCCCTTCAGATTCACTTTGCTCAAGTGTTTGATTGTGTATTATTCACACAGTTTAATTAGAAACACAATGAGGATTCTATTAAGAGAGCTTTAGACAACACAAAGCCCCTAACAATAGGCTGAACTTTAAATAAGCATTAAGCACTTTACCCAGTTAGGACCCAAGAAAGCTGCTGAAGCCTGATAGAAAACAGATACATTAATACAGTAAATGTATTAATGTATGTATAATACCAATGTCCTGGCATTCCACTTTCAGACCTAAGTGTAGCAAACATACAGTGATAACCAGCTGCGTAAGTGAGTATCGATGCAGCCAATTAACCATTTTTCTTGTGGAGAGCACATCCATATGTGCCTTTCAGCCCATACGCTAAACACTCCAGGCTTGACAGCTTAGGCCTCAGTGTTGCTCTGCCTAATGGTGGCAAAGTGAAGGGTAAATGCTTTCCTGGCTCTTGCTGTACAGAATCACCAACCAGCACAGTCCCTTATTTCCACAGACAGTAATTGTTATGACTCAGAACAGAGGACAACCTTGGCAGAGGGAGCAGCACTACGAAAAGCCAGAAGCCAAAAGGAAACATTGCACATGTTTTATTCACTGATGGCCTTCCTCTAAAAAAGGAGGGGGAAAAAAAAAAACAGAAAGCTTGTCTAAGGCTGCTAGTTTGGAGTGCTCTGCAGAACTGTCAAGAATATAGACGAGTATCAATCACGCACCACTGGGACCAGCTATCAGGTGGGGATTTATTATTTACAGAGCACAGTGTACACAGCATACCTGCAGAGAGCCTCCTGTATCAGAGAATATTCTTCTCATTTTTCTACTGGGATAAGCAAGCTCTTGCAGTATTTCAAAAATAGAAAAAGGGTAGAATGTATGCATGCACCAAATGCCCCAGCATAGAGGTGTACATATGACATACCATTTTGTTCATTAAATTGCCTGACCACATCAAATGGCACAGCACAGTTAATAAAAACATCACTGAGACTCGCACAGAACAGCTCAACTTCTCTTATATACGGAATAAATGCAAGGGAACATAAGACTGGAAATAAAACAGGAGCACATCTCGCATGTTGTCCAGGGTGTAATCTACTATGTCAAAAAAACAATCTTGTTTAATTAGAAACAAGAGCAAGAGCTGATAGGATTTTTAACTAATTGGTCATAAAGACAGGCATCCTGTCAGGAGCTGTGAGCTGCGCAGACAAGCTGTACAACTATTAAGTGTCCTTATACCTGCTAAACTCAATCACAATTGCTGTCAGCATGAACACGCATCTTGTTATCTTGAGTGCTCATGCAGGGAGATGAAACATCCACTGTACCAAGAAGAAACAAAGCTATGCAAACTTCAAGCGATAGGAATCTCAAAATTAATAGGACAGGTGAATGACAGCTGGGAAAGACAATACAAGCTGAGACGTCTTGGGGCAGGAAAGCAATCAGCCTGCTGCATTCTGAGCAACTCGCAGCCTAGTCATAACAGCGGGCAAGCAGTGATTTACAATGAACTAAGCCTGTAAGTGAAAATTCATGGATCCACTTCCTTGCATTCGTCCGCAAGGGCACGAGTGCATTTGCAGTATTTCTTAACGTGTCCAAGGCTGTCTTTGATGATCACTCAAGGATTGGCTGTTAAACATTTAAAATAATTCCAGACTCATTAAAACTAACTCTCTTTCAGTGTAAGAACCCATCAATTGGTTTGCAATGAAATGCAGCAGCTCTCTGTTTTTAAGCCCCCAAGCAAGTATTTATTTTTTTTTTCTTTCTCTCACTCTCTTAAGAATAAAGCAATCCACCAAATGATTAACTCCTGAATTTCACTGCTCATCACAAAAACAAAAACTCCTCCCAAATCTTACAGTCTTGGAGTAATCCTACAGCAGCTTTGGGACATTTTAAAGTAAAATGCTTGTACCAAACATACCTGTGGGCAAAGGTATATAAATCCTTTTTTCCAGTCTCCGTCGGAGAGCTTCATCAATATCCCAAGGAAAATTTGTAGCAGCTAATACCATAACCATCTTGGAAGGGTCATCATTCTCCAAAGCACCACCTACCCCTGTAAGCACAACAATTTAGAGAAATTTCACTCCGCTGCTCTTATTGATCAAGATGCTTGCTAAGAAATTGTGCAAATGTTACAAAAGCTCAGACAAAGCTCAGCAGCTGTTCCGTGCACTTCCAGTGCCACCTTCCAGACTTCACATGGCTGATGTAGCAGGACCATCATTGCCACATAAAGAGGAACAGTTCATTCTTCTGTGAGACAAGGAAGGGCTTTCTTTGACTGTGCTACCAACACAGTCATGTGCAAGTGCAGCACTGTTAGTGACAGCAAAAATACCATCTCTGTCAAACATGGCCATAGAAGAAGCAATAATCACTCCCTGACCTTCCGAACAAGGACTGTAATGAAATGTTCACTTGGAGAGAATAAGTTGCCTACATGGGGTTTACCACAATGAACATTTGAGGACATTATAAACCAAGAGTGGTTCAATAGCAGCTGTTATATAGAGGTGGTTATCAAAGCACTACACCACAGAACATTCCTTGGGTGGTGGTCCTCACTGCGTGCACATGTGCAAAACAGGTACAGAATATACTCCTAAGAGGGTAATATTAGCTGTCACCACAGCTAACAGCAAAACCAGATCTGATGATGGGGTCCCTGAGCAGGAGACTATGAAAGAGAAGAAATTTGTTTAAATTGCTTAAAAAAAAAAAAAAAAAGATCTGTATTAAACTTCACAAATCTCCATTATCTGCTTCTCCTCCTTCTCCTATAGTAAAGCATCTCTTCAAAATGAGTTCTCAATTTTCTAAAACGGTCATTTTAGAAAAAATAAAGCAGAGCACCTTTTCCAGTTATCCACCTTCAAATTCTCAGAGAATGCATTCCTCTCAAATTTTGCCTTACTTCTCCCCCATCCATAAAACCGGGCTTTCCAGATTGTTCAAGTTTTTTACATTCTCATCTCTAAGAAAACAGCATCCCAGCCCCAAGCATGGATCTAAATCAGTAATCTTTACCGTCCATTTGCACAAGCAGCTCTGACTTGACTCTGCGACTCGCCTCATGCTCATCAGATGTGCCTCTGCGGCTGCAGATTGAATCAATTTCATCAATGAAGATTGTTGTTGGAGCGTAAAACCTTGCCTTTATTCAAATGAAAACATCATCATTAAGACTGTAGCAGCAAGCACAAGCCCTCATCATACCATGACCCAGTTTGGTTACTACATATATTACCTTCCCTGCTTGTCACAAGAAAGTAATTCAAGACCTTGATTCACAATCTGTATGACACATGCTTAAGTTTATACATTTTAAATTGTATTCCTCAAGTCAGAGGTCTTGCAAAGAGGAAAAGGAACACAATGACAAAAAGGCAGTTTTTAATATTGAGGTTTTGTGCTGGTGAGGGCAAGGCAGACGGAATAGAATAGAACTGCCTATCTCAAAAGACAGAGGTTTCAACTGAGAGTGTGCCTGAAGTAGATCCTGAAGGCAGGAATGACCCTTTCAGTATAGGTCCATACAGGTATGTCCTTCACACAGCCCACATGATGGACTGCACTCAAAAACACTGAGAAGCTTGTCCATCACTCAGAACAGAAACAGAACTAGAATACGTATTGCTCCTAGAATAATAGTTCTCAGTTCTTTCCAATTTCAAATAACTTCCTATAATTTCTGTCAAGATCACCACTCTGCCTTTAGCCAGGAAAACGCTATCCTCAACATGAGTGATGAGCCATTTCCCTCCTAATCCTCAGTGACATTTCAGAAAATGATGAATACACACGTTGTCTCTTCTCTATCTGGATGAGAGTAGTAAACTCAATACTTCCAGCATGCTACTGGAGGGGCAGGGAACAGAGAAGGAGGCCCCTTCACACCTCACTGATCCCCAGATCACACCATTGAGGACATACCATTTCAAACAACAGGCGGACAAGCTTTTCAGATTCACCCCTGTATTTAGATGTCAGTGTAGAGGAAGACACATTGAAGAACGTTGTTCCACATTCTGTAGCAACAGCTTTTGCTAGCATTGTTTTGCCAGTACCAGGAGGACCAACCATCAGCACGCCCTGAAAGGTGAAAACAAAGGTCATGAACAACAAGTAAATTTTGCGCAACAGTCCTCTATACTGCATCTCAAAATAAACCAAAACCAGTAAAACCAGTATTTTGATTGCTTAATATCATGATCATCATCAGTGGAAAACAAAAAATGCTGCATTATGAGAACAGCATGGAAGCATTCTGTGACTTATTCTCCTTACTGCCCCACTGAAGTCAAAATCACAAAAGGCAATTGCTGCAGCTATCACCTGGGAAGCAGGTGACAGATTTACAGACTTGCTCTGAATCAAGCAGGGCCTGTTCTTGAATTTGGCTCTTTCCCAACTTACAAGTGGCTGTACAGACGGATGAAGAGAATGAATTCATCTTTTTGGAAGAAGACTCCTTCATGAAGAAAGCTCCACCGAAACCAAAATACTTTTTGTTTTCATCAGTAGAGCATTTTCATACAGAAAAACATTTTGTCAAAAAATCCTAACCATGTACACATATGAATCTGGCTGATTTTTACAATTCAGTCTGCACAAGAACATTCACTGGACACAAGGGTTTGTCCTACTGCTTAATCTCTCCATCCTAGCCTTTCTGTGGCCAAAGTACTACTTCTTACCACCTCCTGGATGAAAAGCCATTCTCACCACACTGCTGGACAGTTTTTGGCTTATGTGGACTGCTGCTCAACTCCATTTAATATGAACTTCAATGATTATTAAAAAAAATGTCACCTGGACAACTGAGCTATGATCAAGTCCCAGCTGGGCAAACACATCATTAGATTGCCTTTCTATCTGTGCTCTGTCTGTAAGAGGGTAAGGAGCACACACTTCTCCAGCTCAGGGCATTCTGTGGAGCATTTGAAACAACAGAAGGAAGGGATGCCATTCAAAGGACCCGGACATGCTTGAGAAGTGGCCCCATGTGAACATCATGCAGTTCAACAAGGTCAAGTGAAGGCAATGCACCTGGGTCAGGGCAATCTCAGGTATATGTACAGTCTGGGCAAGGAGTGGATCGAGAACAGTCATGAGGAGAAGGACTTGGGGGTCCTGGTTAACAAAAAACTGAATATGCGCTTGCAGCCCAGAAAGCTAACTTCATCCTGGGCCAAATTAAAAGAGAGGTGGCCAGCAGGTTGAGGGAGGTGACTGTTCCCCTCTACACCACCCTCATGAAGCCCCACCTGCAATACTGTGTTCAGCTCCTGAGTCTCCAGCACAAGAAGGACATGGGCTTGTTGCACCAAGTCCAGAAGTGACCACAAAGATGATCAGAGAGCTGGAGCACCTCTCCTATACAAAAAGGCTGAGGAAGCTGGGCTTGTTCAGTCTGGAGAAGAGAAGGTTCCAGGAACACTTTATAGTGGCCTTCCAGTACTGGATGGGGGCCTACAGGAAAGCAGGGGAGAGACTCTTTATCAGGGAGCGTAGTGATAAGACAAGGGATAATGGTTTTAAACTGAAAGAAGGGAGATTTAGATTAAATATTAGGAGGAAAATCTTTGTTCAAAGGGTGCTGAGGCATTGGAACAGACTACTCAGAGAAATTGTGAATGACTGTGTTCACTACCAGGCTGGATGGGGCTTTGGGCAACCTCGTCTATTGGGAGGTGCCTCTGCTCACAACAGAGGGCTGGAATTGGATGAGCTTTAAGGTCCCTTCTAAGTCAAACTATTCAGTGATTCCACAATTTACTTACTCATCACTACACAAGCAGGTTTTTAGCTACATACACAGTGCACTCAGGACCCACATTAAGACCATTAAGACTGAAGCACCAAGACTGGTTAATCACCATGACTCAAAGAAAAGACAATATTTTTTAAGTGAGACACAACAGAAACAACACAGGTTTCTGAAAATAAGCAATTCCTTCCATCATGAGATGACTGCTGACTCCAAGGAGGGCTAGTTCACAATCATATTTTTAAACACTTATGTTTATGAATATTCTGACCATTGCAGCAACACTCTGTACCACCCCCTCAGCACTAGAACAGGGCACTATGATTCTGAGCATGGCACTGTGAAAAAATGTAGTGTTCAAGCTTTTTTTCCCCATCTACAAAATCTTACCATATGCTAACAAGAGTTTCCTAAAATTAAGTTGTACTGGGTTGCAAGGGTAATCAAATTAGCCAGAATTAGAATTGCATATCATAATGTGCTTTGCAATTAATATCTTACATAAAATACCATAGCAATAGACTATCTGTTAAATGCAAGCCACATAGCAAATTAGATTTCATCTGTTCCTCACAAAAATTTACTTCAAAAAGCACACAGAATGACATGGAAGAGATCTATAAAAACAAATCAACCGAGAACGCAATTATTCAAAAATGTACTATTCAGAAGCAATAGCCTCTCTGTATTCCATTTCCCATTAACTCTTAATACCTTTATTGCCATTTAACACTTAGCTAATGCAAGCTTCAACATACATTCATTGGTAAATTAAGTTATAAATGTTCATACTTCCTCCATACAGCTAACGGTCCAATGTCACTCTTCAGGCTGCTCAAGGTTTCCTTAACTCCAGGGCAACAAGCATGAAAAGCAAACTGACTCTTTTTTTCTCCCCATGAACATTCAGACATATACTATGATTTCAGTTGCTGCACAGTCATACCAATAATATTATAATAATGCAAGTGTGAGCCTGGAGTGACTGGGTGAAAATTACTTGGCCAGTGATTGGTAGGGCAGAGATGACTTACTGTTCTCTCTAAGTTTCAAATGTGCTTATTTTTATATTTTAAAGTATCATCCATATCCAATCACACTTAACCCCTGTTCCTGACAAACTGTGTTTACTGTCGGAGCTGGTGACACAAGGGCTACTGGTAGTTTTCTGGATGCCACCTTGGTCTCCCATTATTCTGGAAGATCAAATTTCAGCTTCAGCCACATATATTGCTCACTGCTTCATTCAAAAGCCCATTGCTTTGTACCTTCTGCATAACTATGACAGTGAGCATTACCTAGCACAGGATACTGGGGGCATTATATACGGACATAACAAAGGTGCCATGCAGCCACACCAGATGCAAAGTCAGGGGAACACCAAGCTCTCTGGGGACAAAGAGAAAAGAAATGTCAGTTAAAAAAAAAAAAAAAAGGCAACAAAAAAAAAAGGAAGAAGAAGGAAAAAAAAGCCACACCTTGAATACTCAGCACAATGAGGTGTGCAGGGCTGCAAAGAGAAACACGGGATCAAGTCGCTCTTTCTCTCTGCAACTAGGAGGCTGCCACTTACTCACTAGTTAAAATCCTTGACAAACACAAAGACTTCTTTATTCCTCCTCTAAGGCTCTGTTAATCCAAAGTATTCCAATAAGAAGCTGAAACACACTGCAGGGAGTAAGTGTTTTGATGAAATCACTGCAGGGTTACTTCTTGCTGTTGTAACAATCACTAGCAGAGCAGTGGGAAGCACAGCAAGCAACCAGGCCTTCTTGGCACAAAGCAGTTCAGAGAAAAAGAGCGAGCAAGCCTGTGGACACTCAGAGACCCAGCTGCAACCACACAGCACCTGTGTTGAATCGGGAAGGCAGCTGGCTCCTTCACACCAGGCACTGTCCTCTGAATGCAGGGGCAAACAGCAAGGACTGTCTTGGGAATTATCCTCAGGAGAGTCTGAACATCCAAAAACAGATCTGGCTGCCTTTTCCCTGAGTTATTGTCCTGAATGCCTAGGCTCAACAAATGCCTGCTGCTACACTGATTACTGCGAGAAACAGCCTTCTCTTCAAAACTTCTCATCCCCGTAGCACAGTCAGAGGTCAACAGTAAGGAAAATGCATGCTGTTCTGCATGAGAAATAAATTCAGGAGAATTACAGCTTCACGAGTCACCAGGGAGAAGGCTAACAATGAAGACCCTTCATGGACTTGTCAGAAATCAATTTGCATTTCAGACTGAAGGAAGGAAATAATCGTATCGTTTTTTCCACGTCTGCAACCACCTAGTTTCCAGAAGCAATACTGGTCAGCAGGAAAAGATAATCTCATGCAATGAGAAGGAGACTCTAATTCTGACAACCAGGCTGCTGTTTCCCTATCTACTGCCACAGTATTTGGAGACAGGATCAGCAGCACTCTTCATGCTGCCTGCAGCCTGCTGAGATACCTGTCTTAAAGACAGATGGCCACTACATCCTCTAGCTGTGTTAAGAGGTGAAAAAGCAGCATAGCAGCTCTTTACCCCCTTAAAAGTTTTTGAAGACTGGACAGATGGGGCTACTATAGCCTATAATGAGGGTATGGATCACAGTCCTCTACACCGAGAGGAAAGAAAAGAGATTCAGTTATTTAACAGATACTAAAATCTCACCCTGTATTTGTGACCTGTGATATCTAGGCTCTGTCCAAGCTGATACCTTGGTTAACCTCAAGGTCAACTTCAAGCCTGGTGCTTAACCACAATCACGCTAAACACCAACAGCCATAAAGCTCCAGCCCACAGGTTCTGCTGAATCCAGGTTTGGACCACCTCCTTGCAACTCACTAAAGCCTCTGGTTCACAGAGATGTTCAGTCTGTCACGCAGCAATCCCAAGGTTCCTGCTGTTGACTCCCACCCTTTCAGCTTCCTCTCTTTACTGTCTGTAGACACAAGCCCCAAAAATGACAAGTTTTCTACTCAAATGCTGCATGACTTTATTTTGTAAATGGACAGCACAATGAGGATTCAAGAGTAGCTCAGGCTGAAGAAGGACAGCTTTGAAAGCCAGTCCTAAGTGTAAATCAGAGAAATCTTACGGGCCAAACAGGAAAAGACAGGGCAAGCACGAGTAACACAGGGTCTGAAGTATGTGGAACTACTGTACTAATCTACAGCAACCAGCCATGTACATCGCATTCTCTACACGTCATATCTTTGGAGACTCAGAATGACAGACAGTTTGCAGCAGAGTCTCTTGTCCCAGTTTATCACTGAATGTTTCCCCATAATCAGATGGTCACTATGCTGTGACCAGCCATTATTAAAACAACAAGTGTCATTCCATCCCACAACTAAAGCAGGATAATTTTATTCTCTGTGTACAACAACATCCTCTGATTCCTTTTCAGCTCTGAGCAAGGCCCAGGCCATGGTTGTCACCAGTCCGTTACCCAGCCCAGCTCAGCCCCATGTTACAACAGCTTACTGTTCCAGCAGCTCACGCTCCCACTTTCAATTCCCACCGCTCCACAGGTAACTCAGTCTAGCTGCAAGCACAGCTGTAAAGCTAAATCATCAGACCAGCCTTCTCTCTTTCCTGGATTCCTTGCATGATGCAGCCTGCAGCGTGCAGTCAGCATAAGAGAGAGCTGGCACATACAGAAATAAAACCAGTCCAACAATTGCTTTCCTTGGTTGAAAAGCAGCCATCGTAACAAATCAAGCTTTCCATTAGGCATTTCTGCTTCTCTCAATAAGCACTACATGCTTGCTCCCATGCACAGGCTGATCTATTAACATTGAGAAGCAATGACTGAGTAAACACAAAAGAATTATAAAGTGTGAAACCTGCATACACTTCCAGCTGTTTATTTCAGTGCATTTTACATGAATCATTATGAGAGGATTTCATGAACAAATTCTTGAACTTTCCTGTTTGGCATTTGAGGTATCCACTGCAGGCATCCACACACTCTACAGCAGCAGGCATACATAACTACAGCTTGCCATTTACTAAAGCACCAAATAAATCCCTACCTTCCAAGGTCTTCTGATCCCTTTGAAAAAATCAGGCATCCACATCGGAAGAACAACAGCTTCTCTTAATAATTTTTTGGCTTCTTCCAAATCTGCTATGTCATCCCTGTACAAGAGAAAGAAACTTTTATGAGATTCCTGTATGACAGTATTTCTCCTGCTTTTACAGAAGAACAAATAAAGTTTTTCCCTCAGTACCATCTCTTTTAGCGTGTATTTGCCTCATGAGAGTACTCCTACAATCCTGTGACCTAAAACTAAATCCATTTGTGAAAGGTAGGGAAAAAATGAATTTCAGCTCAAGTTACTCTCAGCTGCTTAATTAAAAATTGGTTTGGACAGCGTGAACACCAAAGAGATATCTTCAGAGTTCTCAAGAGTGCACTTCTATTATGGCAGTACTTGCAATGGATGTACTGCAAAAAATACCAGTTAGCACAAAAGCCTAAGTGTAATCAAATTAATAAACTGTTAAAGCCAAAAGACCTTGCATTGCTCATTTGCAGAAAATTTTGATGTCTCCCTATCTTAAGATTTAGGAGAATAATAATTCCTCCCCTTTTCCACACTAGCAAAAACACTTCAATAGAGAAAATCCTCATACCAATGAATGCTTGGATTCCTCGACACAATGTCCCTTTCAAGAGCTTCGACCAAGTCTTTGTCATAACCCACTCCTCCATCAAATCTTGGAACATCATCAGCAACACCTTCCTGGGGTGTTTTCTTTCCCTAAAAGTGAAAGTCACAGAGGTACATAAGAACATTTTTCTTTGCACATATTCTTTACTAGTAACATATAGAGCAATATTGTCTGCTTTGCTTCTGCTCAAGCCGCAAGGTACAAAGCTTTAATACAGCCATCACAGCACCATGATGGCCAGCAAACCCAATACTTTCATACCCTGCACTCCAAGAAGCATCCCCAAACACCTGTGGTTGTTTCCACCACAACAGCACAATGCTTTCTTCATGGATGCTGCTCACAGTAATAAGAGCCCACCAGACTTCATTAAACATCACAGCGGGTGGGCTGTTAAGTTGCTTTTTTTGTTTTATTTATTAGCAAACCAGATTCTCTTAACAAAGCTAAACCACTCTTTAGGTAACTGACACCAAACACAGGAATGCAGAAGCAGGCTAACAATGCAGCCGGCGTTGGGGCTTTGGCTGCAGCACACAAAAGTCATGAAAGATCTCGACTTGGAAGGGACTCATCAGGATCACTGAGTCCAGCTCCAGTGGAAGACCAGACCACCCAAAGTCAGTTTTGAAGATGCTCCATCTGCCACATTACCTGCCAGAGCTAAACCACTGGCACACTGTCATGACAAAGCTGTGACACGCGCAATCTTCAATGGAGGAGAACCAAGAAGACTCTCTCCCATTCTTTAATTAAGGCCTTCTTGCCCAGCATTTCTCCTTTCCTCAGCTGCAACCTATCCACTTCCCTTCTCTCATTGAAGCCAGCTCCATTAAGACTTAAATGCTTTTAAAAGGTCATGTTTATTTAAGGACCGCACTGAGAGCCCTAAGGAAGCTCCCAAGTCACCCAGACCTCTTTGAACTCCAGCAATTTCTGCACCATGCTGAGATTCATTCAACAGCCAAGCTCAGCCCTGCCACTGCCCCCAACGGCCACAGGTCTCCGGTTAATGCCTCCACAATGCCATTGAGCTTGTGGGGCAAAGCACTGTTTTCCCTTTGATGCATTAGAGGCCCACTCCTCCTCTTGGGCAGAAACCGCTTCCCCTCCCAGCTAAGTGGCAGTGCTCAGCCATGCTGGGAAAGCAGCTGTAAGGCAGGGGGCTGAGCGGGGAGCTGCTTTCGAACTCCTCACTCAGCCTCAGCAGCAAGCTAAAGGATCTCAGCTGGCTGCACAAAGGCAACCTTATGAGAGGCTGAGAGGCAGATGGAGACACACAACGAACCTACTGCAGAAAGGGGAAGGCAGCGGCTGCAGCGTGCCCACCACTCGCCCATGAGGGAGCCGTTTGTCTCCCCTCTGGTTTTATTTCTCACTTACAAGTGGAGTCAGTGTTGTTTGGTGCTCCCAGATCAGGGCTTTTGCAATGGAAATTAAGCTGAGAATTGTGTTCAGAACAAAAAGCTGATGTCAAAAATGTAATGGCGTGGTGTAAAAAAAGGAAACAGAGAGAGAAAGCCCTGTATAGTTTGGAAGGCTTTAGAAGACAGAAAATGGAATCCAAATGTAACTGTAAAAAAGAAGGAAAAAAAAACCAACACAATAAAACGAAAGGTATTTGTTACACATTTCTCTCATATTCCTCTGCAGTGAACTGATTTTCCTAGCGGAAGACTTTTCTTGAGCCTCTCAAAACCTGTCATCTGTTTGGCGTTTGCAGGGTGTAGCAAAGCAAGGCAGGATGCAAAGCGCAAGAGGAGGGAGGTCGCTCAGCTACGGCACGGGGGGAGGAGGCTGAAGCAGCAGCTCAAAGCCACGGCCAAGGCAGGGTCACTGCCTGCAGAATGTTTGCTGTGTGGGACAAACTGAACAGAACAGCAAATGTGTGAAGTGGTGCAGGCAGTGGTGAGCCTTCCATGTGGCAGCTGAAAGAAGGGGAAAAAAAAGGGAGGAAAGAAAAGGAAAATGAAAAGGAATGGAAAAAGGAGAAAAAAGGGTAAAGGAGAAAAAGAGGGGAATAAAGAAAAGGAGAAAAGGAGAGGTAAGGAGAAGAAGGTAGGAAAATAGGAGAAAAAAGAATGAAAAAAGGGAAAAGAGGTAGGAAAAAAAGGAGAAAAAGAGGGAAGAAAAGGAAAAAAAGTTATGGAGAAAAAGGAGGAAGAGAGAAAAGGAGAAAAAGGCATGGGGGAGGAGGGGAGAGAAAAGGAGAAAAAGGAGAAAAAAAAAACTAAAGCAGAAAAAGGCAAAATAAGGGAAAAAAGGAAGGGTCCTATGCCCAGCCACCAGCTCACTGCAGTGCCACCATAAGGCCTGAGCCCAGCTCCAAAGAAAAGCTGCATGACCCAGGGATGGTCATCTTCCCTGCTTCCTGTGCCTGTCTTGCCAGCGGTATGAGAAAAGGGAGGCATGCTCTCAGCACTGTGCTGATCGTCATTTTGATGGAATTCAGTTTTTCAGGTTTTTCAGTTCTGGAATTGAACCAAAATTTAAAACATTTACAGTCTTCGCATGCAATAAAATTATTAATGTCAGTCCTAAATTGGTCCAATATGCATTCTGCAGTCAGTAGGTGAGTAGAGAGCAGAAAGAAAGAAAAATGTGTCACCTGGATGCAGGCAGGATTGAGTTACATGTTCTTGGAGTCATAAAATATAATGTTTCCAATCAGATCCTCATCTCTTTCCTAAAACAGATTTAGCTAAAGCTGCTGTGATGACTTCTTAGTAAGGGTGTGGGGGGGTGTGTATAGGCAGAGGTGCACAGGTATCCAAGAGATTGATCCCACCCACTCCCCTAGGCCATTGTATCACCCAGCCTCCTCCTCTGCCAAGTTCTGACTCAAACACATGTAGAAATGCATCTTGAAGGAGCGTCAGACTGATCTACTGCAATAAAATTCTCCTTTCCAAAATGAACCTATTTCTGTTCTTGTAGTAGGTTTGTGCATTGGTTTCAGCAGTCATCTCTTCCATGTGTCTGCCAGCCTGATGGGCAGAAAGCATGCCTGTGCACTGCCTCATTTTCCATATCAAACCAGCATCCTCTGGGAACACAGTGGAATACAGTTCCCTGTTCACTTTGGCAGCCCTTCTGCTCTCCTCTCTTCTCATATGAACACATTTTCCTGGAGCTTGGCTGTTGAATGCACACAAAATGCTCCAGCCACTGCCACCATGAGCACCCCTAATGGCTTTGATAGCTCTCACTTCAACTGGTACCACCGCAGGCCCCTCACTATGAGAATGACATCAAGTCCTGGAGTGTGCCCAGAGAAGTGCAAGGAAGCTGTGAGGGGCCTGGAGCACTGATGGGGAAGCGGCTGAGGGAGCTGGGATTGTTCAGTCTGAAGAAAAGAAGGCCTTACTGCTCCGTACAACTGCCTGAAAGGAGGGTGTGGTGAGATGGGCATTGGCCTCTGCTCCCATGTAACAGCAACAGAATGAGAGGGAACAGCCTCAAGTTGCACCAGGGGAGATTCAGGTTGGATGTTAGGAAATACTACTTCTCCAAGAGAGTGGTCAAGTGCTGAACACTGCAAGGGAGGTGGTGGAGTCACCATCCCTGGAGGTGTTCAAGAAACATTTAAATGTTGAACTAATGGGAAATAGTGGGAAATATTGGTGACAGGTGGACGGTTGGACTGGATGGTCTTAGAGGCCTTTTCCAACCTCAATGTTTGTATGATTCTATGATCATTTCTGCAGATACATTAAAGCTCTCCCACAACTGCTGAGCTCCCATCTTCCAGCAGAAAATATCATTGCCATCTCCAAGTGCACTGCCTGCTGCTTTGCATCACTGAACATCATCCCATTTCCCATGGCTCCAGCACAGTCATCCAACCCTTCCTCGACAACACCTTCATCATCCTCTGTTGGTTCTTCCCAACTCAGTGTTACCAGCAAGTTTAATCGGCACTTGTCTCTTTTTTGTGGCCCAGTCATTAATTTCAATCTAAAACAAGAGTCTCTGGCCTTGAAGAAATCCATAAATAACTTGCCAGTTGACTGTTACTTTATCTTTCAGTACCACTTGTCTAAATTCCTCTTTCTGCTTAATTTTTCTACTACTCTTCTTCTACACCTCTTCTAGGTCTTCTAGGTCTCTCTAGACTAACTAATTACTTCCCATGTGGCATCCAGGTAGATTAATTTCTTTCTCTAAGTGTTAGTGCTACTGAAGGCAACACCTATGCTTAAGAAACGGTGTATCTCTATTCTACTATTCCCCTATTCTGGTTACTCCAAAGTCTTCTACTTTTCCTCTGCTCTATATTTGTTTTAAAACTTTGCATGCCGTTTAGATAAAATTAAAAAGCTCCAGTTGCCTGGATCACTTTTCCTTTTCACCTCTAAATACAGACATGGTCAATACAATTTGCCATTTCACTGAGAAAATATCAGAGCCAGTAATTTTTACTGGAAATCTCTGCTCCCAGTGCTGCCATCTCACCCCAGTTCTTGCACAGTACAGTGATGAAGATGATGCTGCCTTCCAGCCATAATGCATGGATGCCTGTACTTCCACCTAAAAACTACTTCATCTCACATTCACTTTCCTATAACCTGCCTTGCCTTTGCTTCTGATATTGCCTATCAGCATCATAGAGAAAAACAATTTTTAACAATCATATCTTGATTAATTTCAGTATTCTCTTCACAGATATGGCAGCACAGCCCTTTTCTATTTCATATCCTTCATAGTATCAACCATCTGCATCCACTGAGGTTCAAAAATTATCTAAAGACTAATTCTAAAAAATGTACAGTATAGCATTATGAGATTTCTCAAAGACATACCAGGTAACAGTCATGCTGCCTCTTTAAACTGAGCTACTAAAGAGAAGCTAGAACTCCTGGAAATTATTCAGCAGAAGGTACCTTGAGAACCAACCAAACAATTTCCCTTGGAACTCAGAAGAAAAAGCACTTTAAAGTAGCATTTTTGAAAAAGAAATGTGTAAATATAAGGGTTTAGTGGATAAAAACCACTAAGATGGGCTTCAGCTCAAAATTACTTTATGGAGCATTACAAAATAGCATTTTACAGGCAGAGTTGGGTTAAAAATCCTTATCCCAGGGTGATTACAGTCAGAATGAAAAGATGATATGGCCTGGGAAGGAGGAACAGTGATAGAAAGGCTTCATAAACACAGCAAAGCAAAATACTCCTAAATATAGCCCCAGTATTTATATTTTATATTGAAAAAATATTACAAATAAATATGCATATTACATGGTAATGTTACAGACAGGAAAAAGTACAACCTATTACACTGCAGCCCACATCTCAGGAAATGGGTCTGTCACCCAAGTTCATCATATGTTCTTAGCCCTAGCCAAGCCTGAAAACTAAAGAGCTTAATTACTGTGAGAAAACTGATATCTGATGACTTAGTTTGAAGCTTCAGTTTTGCGCTGTTGTTTTTAACCGACCATGAAGAGTTACTGAACATCTTTGACATACAGAGGTTTACTTCAGAAACTGAAAATTATCAACACATGCAAAATAAGAAAGGATAAAACTGAAAGGGAAGTTAAACCTATTTTCTATGCCTCTGTAGAAAATACGGAAAGTTGCATTAACTTCTTTCACTTCCCACACATGGTCATTTCCTCTTTCATTCAAAACTATCTTCATAGGAAAATCATGGGTTCTTTACAGAAATCATTGAAAAGCACATGACAAGTGTAACCTGGTGTGATTTTTGCATATGTACCCCAGACAAAGAAGTTAATATAACTACCAACTAGTTAGAAAAACACAAAAAGAAGAGGACACGTTTCTTGAAGAGCAGGCATTGGTAGCTATTTTCCTTCTGCCACCTAGTGACCAATTTATTCAGATGAGGGCAGTGTTTAAAATGCACCGTATTAAAAGGAAGACCTTCATGACTCTCTGTCTGACAGCAGGTGTTGTAACTAATCATGTTATTCCCCGACACTGTTGTACAAGTCATGCTGTTGTGAGCTCCTCACAGTAAAGTCCAGTAATGCTCATCACTGCAAAGCCCACCCTCATCACAGTTAAGGCTCTGAAAGCCACCTTGCACCAACACATCTGGGGAATCTGTCACAAACCACATGTCTGTGGCACAACTGTAAATCATCTCACAGATCCTTACAAGCTTTTTATTAGGTTGCAAGTCACAGACTTTTTATTTTAGATTGTACAGATTCAGAATTGAGAGATTTCTAAAATGACTAAACTTGATCAGTGCATCACTTAGTGGCACTGCTAAAGATATGCCTGGCCTTATGTGCTACTGATAATAAGGGCTGGTATATCCTAACACTTTTCTTTTGTATCAAAAGAGTTATTTATGGTGGAAAGGGTGCACCTTCCGAGTTCTTTCTGCACTGTGTAGATGCAGCTTGTAACAGAAAAGCCACGAGGGTGCTGACCAAAGTCATCTGGAATAAAATTGGACAAAATATTGTCTTCTTTGTTTACTAAGATCCTTACAAAACTGCATGCTGCACAGAACGAGATGCTTGCGTCTTTGTCAGGACAAAGCCCTCTCAGCACACTGTGGACTTGTATCATTCATACCACAGATTCTTTGGGTTCCCAGCACTGACTCCGCAATTACATTTAAAATGCAAGTGTCTCAAACAGTGACTTGCACACACAGGCATTTTTTTTCAGACACACAGCCCTTCCTTGACAGTGAATCACTGCCTCTTTCACTTCAACACTGATTCTTTGGCATGGATCTTCAAAAGAAAGAATCCATAACTTATTCCAATTCATTTCATTATTGTTTTTTATTCTTCTTATTTTCTTCTCCAAAACAAAAAACCCTTTCCAAGAAGTACCTTCCTAAACATAATAATAAAAACCAAAGTGTTTTCATAAAGGAAATAAGATTAAAATTGCTATGTCTCCCTCACATTACATTCAAATCTATGATTTCAAAGAAGTTGGCACACACCTGCGTAACACAGCACTTACAGAACTCTCCTAGACCTCCATGCACATCTTACTATGGCAGGACAGTAGCAACAGCAGCGTGGAATCCTATTTGTAAAGCCTAGAGAAGGGCACTGGTCTCACTTTTGCACTTTACAAACCTGAATTGAATCTCTTTAAAGAAAAAAGAAGGGTTGGGAGGTGGGGGAGGGGGCAGGAGGCAGAGAAGGGTTTTTACACAGCCACATCAGTCAGAGTTTTTCATTATTTGCTAACTGAAGCTAAGAATGGTTCCAGGCTCAGCCGCACTCCTCACCTTGTCATCCCTCCCTCTGGCCCTTGGCTCCCTGTCACGGCTGCCTGCAGATTTGTCGCTCCTCGCTGCCGGCTGTGCTCTGCCCATGGGCCCACGGGGCTGCAGGCCTGGGGATTCCTTCCTCGTGGGCTTTGCTCCTCGGTTGGGACGCTTGATCTGAGGTGGGGCCCTAGATAGTAGGCAAGCACAACAAAAAAATGCTAAAACCAGCAAAAAGAGCAACATTCAAAAGGAATGGTTCTATTATTCTATTAAAAGCTGACAAGCTCCTATCCTATGTGTTGATATCTGCAAACCCAGAAACCTATTTCTGCTTCTGTCTGACACACGAAGAAAGAAAAAAAATATACAAAAGAGAGGTTTCAGTAGTGGAAAGAAAGATAGCAGTCAGTACTATTATACCAACCTTACCAATCTTACCAATATATTACCAATCTTAGAAATGAGCGTGCATATAACGAGAGAGGATACAGCTTACTAAGTCTTGTAATTGTAGTTTCCTCTGACTTTGAATAAGGAGAATATATTCAGGCTACACTCCTATGCATAAGTTCTACCCAGCCAGAAGACATCCCCAGCAAAACAAAAGCTGACTAATAGCTTTGACAGGCCCCAAAACAGAGAGGCAGAATGTTAAAACAATCCTCCTACCGCCATCTTCATTCCCCTGTGTAAAAATGTCAAAACATAAAAATTGCCTCAAAAGTAAATGTAAACAAAGCCAAATTGCAAGCACCTCTACTCTGTGCATCACCCACGATGTCAAAGGGAACAGAGCAGCGGCAGGAGGAGGTGGAATTTATTTTTAAGACAAGGTGTCACAGACATTTTGCTCTAGGGATTGATTTTGGAACACAGAACTGAAATCTGTGGCCAGAAATGTCACCCAACTTTAATTAGTGATCCCTACTTCATCTCCTGCACGGTCTGCAAAAAAACACTTCCCTGGAATACGATTTAACAGCAGCACATACTTATATGCCCTCCTGGGTTTTGCTTTCAAACAATTACTTCAAACTTAACAGCACAGGAGAGTGGCTAATTGTCCTTATTTTTATGCACAAGATTTAAATTACAGCTCAAAGATGTGGATCAACTGTTGGGCTCTGAGCTCTACAAACGATACAAGAAGGAATGTATCTTGTATTTCTCACAGCATTACCACAAAAACTCTGATAATCATTTATATCACTCACCAAAGCAATCAATTTTAATATTATTTTATTTTCATATTCTTGTGGTGTTTTTTTTTTTTTTAAATGTGAAGATCAATTTATCTGATAATCATAAAGCACATGAATTTACACAACTTGGCACTTCTTTCTGCTAACCCAGATCTCTCACTTTACTTTCTTCCTTTGGATATAAGAGCACACAAACATCAACATTATTTGTTATTAAAATGATAGAAACACACTGGCATGAAAAATTTGATTCTTGTATTTTGAATTGTAGCATGGCTTGGGTTGGAAGGGACCTTAAAGATCATTGAGCTCCAACCTCCTGCTGTGGGCAAAGTTGCCAACCACATTTAAATTAGATCATTTTTTCCAACCACCTGTGTCAAGTTTTATTAGAGAAAAATAGGAATTTCAAAAAATGCACATGCAATTTATTTTAAGAAAACTGTTAGTTAACTGAAGTTACTTTTGGAGTGGTTACAGAAGAAAGAACACACAGAGCAGACCATGGTAAGCAATAAACTAACCAGTTGATTCAATAAAGGTTATATTAGCTGTAGGTATGGAGCAGTTTCTAACCACCACATCCTTCCAGATCCTTCAGTTTGTTATCGATCCTTCAGCCACCAATAAGTTCAACAGCTTAACTAAATTGAATGGAAAAATGTCCTTTCTGCACATGATGAAAACAACTGCCACCAAAAGCACATTTATCTCCAAGATCCCTCCTACCAAAATAAAGAACTGACTTTTTTTTTTAGAGTTTCAGCAATAAATCTGACTATAATTTATTTATTTTTCCCCAATAAATTATATTTATGCTTTATTAGAAAATGAAATGCAATTTTCATGTTACAAATACATTTTTAAAAGAACATGAAATTAAGGCAGCCTCATTACCTGTGTTCAGCTGGAACTGGAGGGGGCCAAACAGCAGGATCTCTAAAAGGCTCATCTTGATTGGACACAGGGATTTCTGCAGGTCTGTCCATTTTAAAACTTTCTAAAGTGTCAACAATGCTCTTAACTTGTTCATACTCTTCGACTAATTCTTGCCGAACCTTCAGAAACACAGACACCATTTAAAAATGGTTACATTTTTAAAACATAAATCTCAAAATCTCAGACTCCAGGGTTTCCATTCCAAACCCCAGACACATCAGGCTGACAAGAGTCTTAACAGCAGCATCAACAACTGAATCAGTTGGGTTTATCCTCCTGCTTGTGAGTGCCTAAGGAGACCTGGAGACACAACTGCTAATGCAGGGATTGACACCACAGAACATATGCAGTTGCCAAAGTTTACGTGTGCTTGTTGACATGTGTGCACACTTAAGACATAGTTTCAGAGCATAAGGGCCCCACTTGCAGATCTTTAACATTTGCTTCCATTCTGGCATAAAAGAATGGACTGAGAGTACAGTCTCCAGGGTTCTAGTTAGAAAACTGGCCAAATCTGTAAAATAAAATATTATAGAAGTGATTTCTTGTTGGGCACAGTATTACTATACAGTCAAAAGAGAAAACAATTCTTTGATGGATTACGAAGATTAGGAAAAAAAAAGGGGAACTTTAACACCCTGGAGCATAAGTTCAAATGATAAGCAAAGCAGGTGAGGAAAGAATGAGAGGAAATTATGTCTCAGGAAGAAACTGATTGCAGAATTACACAGTTGAATTTTATACTTAATGTTTCCATTGCCAGCATTAGCATTTCTGCAGTAATTTCAAAATTATGTAATGAATATTTGTTCATTATTTTTTTCCATTAAGTCTGGGAAAAATAAATCCGTGAAGAGACTTCACAAGTTTTAAGTAATATAGCTTGCTGCAAGCTCAAGTTTTGTGTGTTAAGGTCACCAGTCCTTAGTACACATCGGCAGCCAAAAAGGCACTCTACATTCTTGCTCAAAAACATGAGCTCGTGGTACATTAGCTTAAGATGTACTTGGATTCACTAAGTGCACTTGCATGGCATTTTACCAGTCTTCTGCCTGCTGTTCAATGATGCTTTCCATCCTGCAGGACCAACCTCCACTCTTGTAAAGGAAATTAATGTTAAGTAGCACCATACCTTACCAATGTTCTTCCTAATGGCACTTACTGATGAAAAGATGCAGCTAGCAACCTATAATCTCTCCTGTGTGCTCAGAAAGGAACCATGGTAGGCAAGCGCAGGCTGCTGTGTCCTACCAGCATATGTGCAGAAGCACACTTGGCTCATATCTGCTCACCCCATTTCTCCCTCACACTCATTTTCACCCCCTCAGGACTATGAAAACGATGTCCAGCCCCTCACCAAGGACTGGAGAACTGTCATTCAGCTCCCTGGAGCAGGAAGGAGGATCTGAAAATGCAGAGAAAGTGAGCTTTTGGTGCCTTGGAAGCTGAAAACAAACTAACAGCTGCTGCCCATTTGTTAGCAAGACCTGAGCAAACTCTGGAACACACAGCCCTTATCAGTGTCTTGGTGCCTGGCAAATGAACCAACCAAAAGCCCTCAATGTACTTAAACAAGACAACTACAAAGGAAAAACATTCGACAAATTCCTAGAGGCTTTGAAGAGTTTGAGTCAGATGAAACAGGTGCAGAAAGTGTTTCTTGCAGCTGGCAAACAAATAAGCCAGACAAACTAAGAGGGGCTATGCCATAATTACGGAGGTGACCGAGCAGAGCCTCTGAGGGATGAGTGTGACTGCAGCAGCCCATGAAAGCTGCAAGCAGAGAAATCACTGGTCTGGGCTCACCCAGTCTCTTTTCCCCTTCCCTCAGGGGTAAGGGCTCCCAGGTGGCTCCAATTCAGGTTACAGAGAACTCCCCCAAAATCCTTTTACGTTATTCATGTTTAAGCATGGGCTGACTTAACAGCTCTCACTGCCAAAAAGAAAGATCTCACCCTCCTCACTTCTACATAACCACACTCACTACAGCTATTCTGGACTCAATTCTGGCAGAAAACAACCCTAGGAGGGTCATAACTAAATATATAAGTAAAGGAGCTTTGCTGAGTTAGCAAACTGCACTGGCTCACTAGCTTGTGATCAGATGAATACCAGGACAAAGAACAGCAGGGTGCAGAGGAGGGAGAGAAGCTGATGCTGCTGAGAGAAGGCCAGGTGAAAACAGCTTGGCCCTGCTGGGCACTCGGCAGCAAGAACATCCTAACACATGGGTATAAAACACAACGACCAGGAGCTGAGTTCACTTTCTCCTTGTGGTAGTTCCAAAGAGTTTCAGAGCTCCTCCATGTTCCACAGTCTTGCAACTGCAGTACCTTTGAGACCAGCTCTTGCTTGTTACGCTACAGCCTAAACCTCCCATAACACGAATATTTTGTACTTTGGTAAATGCATATAACACATAGGGTTGTTTTTTAATTGCATAATGCTGGAACAAAACTAATAGTTTCTATGAAATCATTTTCCAAACCTGAAATTACTGCCTGTAATTAGCACTAGTTGTTCAACGAGCTCCACTTAAAAAACTGAAAATAACAATTCCTTTAGTCATATCCAAAATGGATGCCCTGTGTGATCCCATGAAGTCAAAGCACAGTACTGACAGATCTTCATGCAGAATATTCCTTAATTACTCGTGAAGCAATTTACGTAGTGTTAATAAGACAGGCATGAGGCAGAAACAACAGAGGCACAGACTGACTGACAGGCGTTTAAAATTATAAATAAGAATTGACCTTTATTTTAACAGCACAGAGCACCTAATCACCTGCTCCAGGGGGACTGATTGGAAAGGGTGCCTTGCTGGCCTCTAACAGCACCCTGAAAATCATCCAATTTCCGCCTCAGCTCCAGCTCCTGTGCTCTGATACCGTGCAATGCGCAGCACACGGTCATAACATGCAGCAGGTTTTGCTCGACAGCCTCTGGCCTTGACAAAAGACGGTGCTATCTCCTGGGGGCACGCTCAGCTGTCACTCTGCAGCTGCTGAACTGTCACTGAAGCAGCTCCTTCCTACAAGCCAGCTGTCTAGTAAAAAGACTACAAGAGCCAAGAAACTCTATTGGAGTAAACAAGGGGAATGTCAGAAGTAGTAAAGTTCACAGTAGCAGTCATGAGAGAAAGTCTACCGTTTATAGTTGTGAAGTATAGAGATGAATTGCTTCTAGTTTTGACTGGGGCTACTCTGAGCTACCCAAGAACAAGCTGCAAACCCTCCAGATTTAAAACAAATAAGGGTCTCAATAGCAGGTGATGCTCAATATCACCATGCCAAGCAAACAACCAGAAAATGAACCCCATGAAAGGCTAGGGGAATTCTCATATTGTCACACTGCTACTTTGGCAGACCCTGCACTGACCTCCAGAATGCATCTTCTGTTGTTTTGAAGTTGTGCATGTTGTTCCAGATTAATAGCAATCCCCAGTCAGCACTGGTTTTGACACCCTAGAAGCAGTATTGCTTCAAGTGAACCTGCACCCCTAAGCTGTTCCCAGTGGAGCTGATGATATGTGTTCATGTTCCTTCTCCTCATAATTATCCTCTCAGCACCAAGCACAAGAACTCCTGGCAATGAAAGCTGAAGCTGTCTACGTGTGCTGTGTGAAATACAACCTACTAAATACTTGGATTGCAGCACTGAGCATTGCTCTGACTAGACCAGCCTATAGAAATTTGAAAATCCTAACACCTCAGCAAAGAAAGGTAGATTAAGAGTCTTTGGGAGTCTGACCCAAAATCTCACCTAGTTCTGGTTCATCTCTGCTCCACATCTCTCAATAAACTGCTGGCAAAATCCTGTTAGTACACAGAGCCACAAAGCAGATTCACCCAATGGAAAATCCCCTACAGAGAAGTGACCGTATGGGGGGAATAATGGTCCATACAAGTGGCAAGCTAACTGACCATGGCACAGCTTAACCATTCTTGGAGGTATGTTACTCTTAGGGACATTCCAACTTTAGGAGGAAATGAGTACGCAGCACCTGAAACCGAGCTCACTGCCTCAGAAAAAAACCATGCACTGTCCACAACTGGACAGAAAAAAGGGCAGGTTTGATGTTGCCAGTTTCCCTCAGTGTCCATTTCCTAGGACTCCTTCGGGAGATTCAAGGATCAAGATGGATTGTGAACATGCGTACAGACAGCAGATCCTAAAGAACTGATTCAAGTAATAATCCTTTCTTCTCCTTTGAGCATTTACCTCCATGTATATTAATGTCATGGACCATTCCCAACAGGTACAGATCTGCCCAACTAGAGATTGCCAAACTCCACATCCAGAAAGTGCCAGTGGCATTACTGTCCTCGCTTTCATCAGAAGATGAAGAAAGTGAAGTAACTAAAGAACAAGTTCGTTCCATATTCCAGATGAGAGACAATTTTAGGTAAAAATTACCTGCACTCATTCCCTTATCCACGACCCAAGGATTGCTTTGCTTGGAGGGCAGGGGAATATTTTGATTTTGATTCTGCACATTGCTGCTACCAAGTGGGTTAGACCCGAATTTTGCTAAATTTATGTGTACAGCATCAACACAAGTTTCTTGGTGATGTAACTTCTGAGCTTACACTTTTCATGAGAAGCAGTCTGTCAGACAGCAACTGCATGGGACTGGCAGTTTGGAGGTAGTTGCTGTTGGAGCTGGAAAGCAGTGCTAACATCCAGATCATCAGATTCCCTCTTATTCAGTCTCAAAGAATGAGAAAGCACAATTATTTATGAAGAGCGAGTTAGAAAGCAGGTCAATTTTTCTAAGTCCCAGTGAGGGAAGTGCAGCTGTGAAAAAAACTGTGGATTCTAGGGTTATCATTTGCTCCCAAGCCTACAGGTAGTCCTATAAATAATGAAGACAGTCTGAGTATGAAGGTTTCTTTCCACACTTCTTACTTTTAGGTGTTTGTCCCTGAGCAGAGATTGCCACAAGTAATGGCAAAGCTAGATTCTGACAAAGCTTATCTACCACCACTGTAATGAGAAGTTTCAGAATTAGCATGAGCACACAGCATGACAGACAGTACTCCACCTGCTGATGTTCTTTCTGGGGATAGTGCTTTTTAAATTCTGTACAGACACTGTTAGGGCAATTCTGATTTTACTTAAAAGAGGTAATTTCTGAGAAGATGCCAACTTCAGATTCACTGGTAAGGTGCCTACTGCCTTTCCTAGAGAAGAATCCTAGAAACAGCATTAAAGGTCCGTTTATACTCGGACTTGTATCCAATGTACAACATACATTCCATGGTGCACAGGCAGCAGTTGAAATAACACACAATGTCATAAGATTGTGAGACTTGAAGTAATCTTCATAAGCCAAAAGCTGTTAAAAGTTTAATGGAAGATTTAATGTCATCAGGGGAAACACAAAGTACTAGAAGTGAAGGTGATGCAGAAATGCAGCTGCAGAACAAGGAAAATCTCATGTTTTTTACCTGCACATCCGCTACAAATTTGGCAGGAAATAAGAACAAGATTAGGGCACAAATACCACTCAGTGTGGCCTGGGGTGGGGAGGAGCTCGAATACAAACACAAGTGTCAGCATCTCCTATACAATGTTCAGCTTCTTTCAGCACCAGGAAAGCTAGGCACTATCACTGCTGTTTGTGCACACACATCCTTTGCCATCAAGATCTTAGCCAGTGTACAGACTTTAATAATTAGTTTCACGATAAAGACTTATGAATAGTATTATCATTTGATTATCATTTGATTGCTAACAGTTTTACCTAATAGTACACAAAATACTGCAAGAAGCAGACATTTCAAGCACAAAATCATGACCAAAGCACCTTCTGCAATAAAGAAAAAAATCTGCTTTTGTTTTTAAAGAGCATTAGTTAAACACTGATATTTAGAAAAACACTCCTTGAAATCATCTCTTCAGCTACTGCAAAATTATATCCTTCATAAGAGTTATGTTCTTTCATATGTATACATATGTATATTTATACATATATACATATTCATATTTTATACAATATGATTATTTTTCTGGAATACACTTTTACATTTTTATTTTCTGAGTTGGTATCTTATTTTTTTTAGATAGAGCACATTTTCTACAGTGAAATATGTGTGTATATGTATACATACACACACATATGTGATACATGATCCAAACCAAGAGCATACAATTTGCATGTTGTTGTGTGCATATCTACCTGCTACTCAGACAGCCATTCTACTGACATTAACCCATTCACTCACACCTTAATTTGCTGAATATTAGATGGACAAGAGATAAAATAGCAAAGGGAAGTCCTCAGCAAAACAATCTTTCCAGAGTAAACAATCACACATGAACAGACCAATGGTTAGCCAAACATCGTGAGTGAAAACAAGGCAAAAATTGTTAAACATTTATATAAAGATTCCTTTCAAATCAACGTAAGAAATAATTCCCTATAAATGTCAACTAAACATCGTGTAGGCAACATTATAAACTTAGCTGAAATACACATCCTCTACACTATAAAAGCTTGAGGAAGTATCAAATATTTTTCAAATACCAAGTAACAGAATACAGGCAACCTTATTTCACCATACCTGTTGCCATTTGCCCTTAATTGCTGGATCTCTGATCGACTGGCAATGTCTCTGGATTTGCTGGATGACACCCTGGTAATACACCATAGAAGAGTCATAATTTCCAATGAGTGCATAGTCTCTTCCCTTTTTGGCATTGTCGCAGATCTCTGCCAAATTCATCTTCACTCAGAAACCTAGAAGAGAATATAATCATCAGCAAAACTAATTTTACATGCTAGAATAATTCAGTCTGTGAAACTCCAGCTTTCTTACTTCTCTCAAAGCTGAACTGTGTCTTTTTTTTTCTTTACCAAGTATTTAGCTCTTGAAGCATCAAGCCTAAGGTTTGAGATCATAAATCACAACTCATTTATAGTGATTAAAAACAAACAGAGGTCTATACAACTTCTTCATTGCCTTTGGTCCCAATCCCATTAAATTAATGCAAGTAAATTAAATGCCCTGCCTACCCTGAACTTCAAGGATCTAACCAGCCAAACCTTAATTTGTAGATCACCACAATATATTAGCAGCCATCAACCTGTGAATCACAAATCACACAAGGCACTAAATTGCTTTTTATGTTGTTGGATTACATACGTGCCTAAATGCTTCAACCAGCACCGTGGAAGTCTGCACTTAGCACTTCTGAGAGCCCTCACCCTAATGAGATTGCAATGCTGCTGAACGACAGCTCCACTATAGGCAAAGTTGAGAGCCTCTTTCTGTTTAAATATTCTTGTGAAGTACATCAGCATCCAGATGCTGACTTGCACTTTTTCATTAAATCTAACATGTCCCTTTGGGATTTACAGCAGAGTTAGCAATCCACATTTAAGACTTCTTAAAATGACACTTACCAAAGTACAGCCTTCCCCTAGTCCCTCAAACAATTTAGGATTAATACTTTTTTACTAACTTTTTCATATATAAGCAACAAATCATGGCACATGGTGAAGGCAAACCCATATACAACTTCTCCCAGTAAATGTTTGAGAAAGCAATATTAAACCACAGACTTGAAAGCATGAGGCACTGATCAGAAAGGTCTGTATTTAAGGCTCAAGATCCAAGCAGTGCCTGCCCATCGAATTTATCCAAATCCCCCATAACCCAGCATCTAAGTCTCTGCCATACAAAAGTAGCCTCAATTCCCTTGCCTTGACTCAGAACATGAAGTTCCCAACATTCATCCAGATGGACATCTCAGGAAATCAAAAATAATCTTAAGGTTAATAGCTACACAAGGCAGACAAACATCAGTGCATGGAGAAGAGGCCAGCCTGGACCCACACACCAGGCCCACTTCTCTTGCTTTTGTCACTAAGCCCACAGTCACATGGCCTCTTTACTGGTGAATGTCCCAGAATCTGTTGCTCTCCCACTGCCCTGAGGATGGTGGTGGCACCAAGGCTTGCTTGTCCCCACTCCCTGCCTCTTGTCTCAGGCTGCTGGAAACCTTGAGGCAGATGCGGAATGTAGGTGGATGTGGAACCTGTATCCTATAATTTGATCTCTCCTGGAGCTGAGGGTGGGCAGGATGGAGAGTTCTAGCTCTAGAACTCTGACTGTAATAATTGGAAAGGAGGTGGAAAAATTTACATGGCTTAAAAATGCGATGGGAAACCATACAATAATCTCCCATTTCCTCCATGAATTTGGAGGCTCCCAGCGTGACGCTGGTGACACAGAAGGACAAGCAAGAGCTTGATGGCTGATGCATCACGTTGTGGAGCTTCTACATGCCTACAGGCACTGAAACTTTGCGGAGGTGTTCAAGAACTATGGATATGGCACAGAGGGACACTGTTAGTGGGCATGGTGAGGATGGGCTGATGGCTGGACTTAGTCATCTTAGTGGTCTTTTCCAACCTTAATGATTCTATGTAACTTGGAGCACACAGGGAAGTCACTGCACGTTCACACGCTCCTACAGTATCCTTTCAATAGGGAAATGCCTATTGATGCCTCCGGAGCTAGTCTGACTAGCAGAATCTCCTGCATTTCAATTTTACTTATCACCTATTCTGGACACCAAATCAGGTCATACTGACATGAGGAGGTGACTGTAACATCATCCACTTCTGGGAGATGTGTTGGAAACGTCAGCTGTTGACCTCAGTCCTAAGAAAGAGCTCCCCCTTATGACCAGGCAATGCCCTGAGGCCCTACTGCAAAAAGACTGACTAGTTCATACTGATGGGAAAAAATTGTTTTAATAAGTTGCAGTCCTTTTACACGTACTAGCTATGGTACTTTCATTCAGAACAGCCAAACTTGAAAGCAGGATAGAACATGCCCACAATTCAGGAAAAAAAGAAAATCAGGTCTTCTGGGGAAGGCCTTCTTTCCTGGATTGTTTTCTGGACAGCTGCACACCAGTGAGAAGAGGCAGCTAGAACTAAGTGGAGGGTTTTTCCATATTCTGTACATATTTTTTTATTATCTGTTCTGCATAAAATTATGGAGTTAATACATTGTATACATCAAAGAAACCAGAAATAGAAAGTGCATAATTAATTTTGTGTCGTTTTTAAATATTTGTTTTTCTTGCTGTGCCACAGCTGCGTACTTTAAGTAAATGTGTAGCAAGGGACAGCTGTTGTCAAGTACATTTAAGGCAACTTACACGTTTCTTGTGACACCAGCTTCCCATCCTAGCACTGTATGGTTCTCTCCTGCACCAGACCATAACAGCTCCGCTGTACATCAAGGTACGCTCTGAGATTCCTCAGTTCACAGATCATTGACAAGAAGAGACATTACAGACATTCCATCAGTAGAGCTGCCACACACAGGGTCTTAAGCCCACTTGTTAAAAACTCTGCAGCAGCATGGCTAAAAGGTCACAGGGGATATTAATCTCCATTCTTCGGAGCATAAGCTGAGCTGATCCCTAGCTGGGGTCAGGAAAGAATTTTTCTCCCACAACCAAAGCAACGCACAATTGAGCAAGATCCAAAAGATGGCCTTTTTTTTTTTTTTTTAAAGTATTAAAACATTACACACTCAGAGATATACCAGTGAGAACAGTGGGCAGGAGGGGGGTGCAGGCACTGCTCCTTCAGAACACCATCTCCAGCTGAAGCATGCATGCAGGGCCATCCCCGCGTCCATATTCACTGGGCGCTGCCAGGAGCAATCACTGCCCTCACTTCAGGCAGGGTCTGCAGCAGGATTTTTTCCTCTTGCTTGTTACTACACACTCAAATTTGCAAATGCCAACACAAAAAGCATCTCTGCAATCTTTCTGTTTTTTGTTCATGCCAATGTGTTTTGAGACAATCAATTACACAACTGCGTCCCATTTTCTCCACAGGCGTTTGACTCCTGCACAGAACAAGATGACATACATTAAATTGTGCAGTTATTCATTTTTTCTTTATTCTTACAGTCTCAGTAGTCACACTGAGCCTTGCTTACTGCCTGCTAGTCAGACTTCTCTTCAAATCACTGTTAGCTTCCCCACAGATAGGGCTATAATACACAAATTCTGATTCTATGTTTTAACCTCAATTTGCATCTTTTTCTGACCAGAAGCTGACCCGAGCAGACCAAAAATTTTCCACAGCTCCCTGAGATTTCTGGACAGATGGTCTCACGTCATAGCAGCTGTGCAGTTCTGCTGACTGGGCAGCAGAACATCTGGCAAGGCCTGGGCATCCACAGATGAAGACCAGTAACTAATTCTGGTTCTCATTATCTGCAGAACAAATACACAGCGCGATGCTGTGCAGCCAGAAAAGCAATGTGAGAGACCTGATTAATATCAGAAGACAGAGCCATGCTTTTCATAGAATCGTAAGGTTGGAAATGACCCCTAAGATCACCAAGTCCAACTGTCAACTCATCACACCATGCCCACTGACCACATCCCTCAGTGCCACATCTCCACATTTCTTGAACACCTGCAGTGACGGTGACTCCACCACTTCCCTGGACAGCTGTGCCACTGCCTCACCACTCTCTCTGAGTTTTTCTTAATATCCAATCTGAACCTCCAACCTGGTGCAACTTCAGGCCATTCCCTCCTGTCCTATTACTGTTACCTGGGAGCAGAGGCCAACCCGCACCTCACCACACCCTCCCTTCAGGCAGATGTAGAGAGGTCTCCCCTGACCCTCCTCTTCCCCATACTGAATAATCCCAGCTCCCTCAGCCACTTCCCATCAAATCTGTGCTCCAGACTCCTCACAGCTTCACTGCCCTTCTCTGGACACTCCAGGGCCTCGATGTCTTTCTCGTAGCCCAAAACCAAACACAATTTTGGCAGAACCCTCCTGAAATCCTGTGCACAATTACGCACCTCCCACAACAGCGTCACGATGGGCCCCAGTCAGTACACAGTTTCAGAACATTTTTCACACAAAACAAAATCATATTTGAAAAATCATGGATGTCTGGTGAAATCCCCAGTGACCACAAAAAGGGAAACGTTACTCCAATTTTTAAGAAAGGGAGAAAGGAAAACCTGGGGAACTACAGGCTGGTGAGCCTCACCTCTGTGCCTGGGAAGATCATGGAGCAGATCCTACTAGAAGCTGTGTTAAGGCACATACGAGACAAAGGAGTGATTTGAGACAGCCAGCATAGCTTCACCAAGGGCAGATCGTGCCTGACCAATCTGATGGCCTTCTATGATGGAGTGACAGCTTCGATGCATGGGGAAAGGGCGGTGGATGTCATCTACCTGGACTTCTCCAAGGCCTTTGATGTGGTCCCTCACCACATCCTTCTCTCTAAATTGGAGAGGTGAGAATTTGAAGGATGGACTGTTCGATGGATTAGGAATTGGCTGGCTGGATGCAGCCAAAGGGTTGTGATCAATGGTTCTGTGTCAGGGTGGAGGCCGGTCACAAGCGGTGTTCCTCAAGGGTCAGTCTTGGGACCGGTGCTCTTCAACATCTTTATCAATGACACAGACAAATGCGAGTGCATCCTCAGCAAGTTTGCTGATGATACCAAGCTGAGCAGTGCAGTCGATACATTGGAGGGAAGGGAAGCCATCCACAGGGACCTGGAGAAGTGGGCCTATGAAAACCCAATGAGGTTCAATAAGGCCTAGTGCAGGGTGCTGCACATGGGTTGGGGCAATCCCAGGTATTTATACAAACTGGAGTAAGATCTTCTTGAGAGCAGCCCTGCGGAAAAGGACTTGGGGGTCCTGGTAGACAAGAAGCTGGACACGAGCCAGCAGTGTGTGCTTGCAGCATGGAAGGCCAACTGTGTTCTGGGCTGCACTAAAAAGGGGGTGGCCAGCAGGGAGAGGGAGGTGATTGTCCTCTTCTAACTCAGCTCTTGTGAGGCCCCATCTGCAGTACTGCGTCCAGGCCTGGGGCTCCCAGTACAGGAAGGACATGGAGCTCTTAGAGCAGGTCCAGAGGAGGGCACTAAGATGATCAGAGGGCTGGAGCACCTCTCTTATAAGGAAAGGTTGAGAGAACTGGGCTTGTTTAGGTTGGAGAAGAGAAGGCTCCAGGGAAACCTCATTGTGGCCTTCCAGTACTTGAAGGGAGCATATAAAGAGGAGGGGGAATGGCTGTTTACATGGGTGGATAGTGATAGGACAAGGGGGAATGGTTTCAAACTGAGACAGGAGAGGTTTAGGTTAGATATTAGGAAGAAATTTTTCACACAGAGGGTGGTGACACACTGCAACAGGTTGCCCAAGGAAGCTTTGGATGCCCCATCCCTGGAGGCATTCAAGGCCAGGCTGGATGTGATTCTGGGCAGCCTGGTCTGCTGGTTGGTGACCCTGCACATAGAAGGGGGTTGAAACTAGATGATCTTTGAGGTCCTTTTCAATCCAGGCCACTCTATGATTCTGTGATGTAGGTGATCTCAGCAATTTATCTGCTTTTCACTTGCACTTATTTCTATTTCCAGAGTCTAAGCAATGAACTGCCAGTTATTCCTCTCTTCTTGCTGCTTCAAAGCTCTTCCTTATGATTAATCTAAACTTGTCCTTCTCCATTTTTGGCCATAGTGTTCCTAAAGTCAGCTTTGACTAGTTTCAGACATCCTCTTCTCCCTCAATTATGTTTTCACCTAAAACAAACCAATTCTGTTGGTTTTTGTTGGATCCTGCTTTTTTTATTTTTCCCTTCAAGGTTAAAATTTGTCAAAATAGAGACATATATGACATGACAACAGTAGAAGCATGAACTGAAACACTACCTGCTATGTCATCGGGGAGGAAAGAAACATTTATTACTGCATCATCTGCAATCCCCATCAGAAGGCTGCAGAAATGTATTTCTGACTGAAGCAGTCAGACTGCATTTCTTTCTGGGCATGATATATTTCAACTCATTTTTTTAAGAATGTTATTCAAATACACAATCATTATGAAAAAAATATTGCCAGTTTCATTAATTATCATTTTCATGATGGATGTGAGTACAGAACAAATGGTTTCCATTTCCAGTAATTAATTGTCCCTTTGAGAAGCGATCACCAGTGCCACAGACAATTGTCAGGCATTACACTAGTGTAACAAAAGCATTTTGAGTCATCACTGTCAGAGAGGCACCACCAAATAAACAAAAGGGCTCACAAAGTTCCACAGCAAAATCTCTTTCCCCAGTAACCTGGCTTTCCTTCGACTTGCTGCAGCACCTCCACAAACTTGGATGGGCACTAACAATCGTTATCTCACTGCATCACTACTTCTGCTAAAATACACGTGAATAAGTAAGCACGTGGCTCAGTTTCAGCAGTTTGGTTATCTACTTTCTCTTAAGTGGCATTAGGCTTCTTTGCACTGAAACCCCCTTTTGAAACATTAGATGCAGAGATAATGGGAAAACGTGCATGGAACTGGTAAGATGAGACATGCACAAAGGCCTCAAACAACTGGTGTGGATTCTTCCAAGAGCTAACTTAAAATGCAAGTGGAAAGAAAAAAAAATCCTCAAATGAAGAGAAGACATTCACCTCAGGTTAATAGGAATCACAAATACACAAGAATCCCCTAAGCAGCTGGTCAGTGCATTAATGCTATTGCTCTGAACAGTGAGCATCCTGCAGAGCACAATGACCTTTTGCAAAGCCTCCGAACTACCTAGAAAGAGAAGTGCCAGAAATTGCTGTGCTGTTCCTACAACTGTCTGCAATCTGCATTCTCCACCAGAGTACCTAATGTGCCAACTTCAGGCTCGTCCACACAGTCACATCTGCACTACTTCAGGTAATGAGGTGCTCATCAACTAGCGTAGATAACTGAAATGAGAACAGTGAATACAAATGCTACGGGACACTTGAGGGAGCGCAATTCCACGCACATGTGCTTTAGGTTGTGATAGTATTAGCATCTTCTTTGCTGTCTGCTGGACTCAAGTTGGCTCCAGCATCTTTCCTCTACATCACAGTCTCCTGCACTTCTAGCATTAGTGCCACACCAAACCCAGAGCAGCTTTAATTGCCCACATGATACCAGCCTAGAGGTGGTGGATCCCTTCTTCAGCAGGATGCAGAGCTCAGATGCTTCAGGGCCTCTGCAGGGCTTGTCGAGAGCTCAGGGAAATGGAACTCAGTCCAGATCAGTAACCTTTCTGTCTCCCTCCCATCAAATTCTCCACATAAACTCTTCTGGTGGAGGAAACATGCCACCAAAGACTCCCGGGATGGGTCTGTGTAGAACCAGCTTGGGTTCAAAGTGTTCATTAGGTCAGTCTCTGAGTCAGTAAAGTGAAACTGTTCCTGCACCTGGCCCTGGATACAGCACAGCCATGCTTCCACACCACTGCGACTCACAAGCACTGTCAGAGCAAAGCCAGCTACACAGAGATTCAGTTCTGGTGTTGCTACATTCCTAATGAAGCCGATCTGCAAGCCAGATAAGCTTTCCATGAATAATTGCAGGTTTAATGGACTCACACATGTGTTTATAACCCTGACTCATAAGGTCAGAATTTAGGCTGGATGCTTTCCCTTCTTTCAAATTCCCCTTTGAATTCCAAAGAATTTGCTCTTTAGGACTATGAATGTTTCAGCTTAGAGTTTTGTTTTCTTAAAGTCTCTGGAAGAACAGTCAATATTCTTTAGAATGTGTATACATACTGCTGTTAGAGTTGCAGACATCAAGTCTTGTCAGATTTCTCAGCTTGTCCCCCAAATAATATTTTTTTCTGCAATTATTTACATAGAAAACCACATATATGGTTTTATTTCTCTTCCTTCAGTTTACTTCTCCACCCTGAGACTGTCATTAGCTGAGGGCAGGACCCACTCCTCCGTGACCGCTGAGGAGTCTGGACCTGTGAGCAGAAACTCCATGGGAGTGCCTGGGGAGCATCCAGGGCTGCTGGGGAGCCCCAGCCTGCCCAGGCTGCATCTGATGTCAGTGAAAATAAACAAATAAATAAGTTCCTTATGAGGACAGGCTGAGAGAGGCTGGAGAAAGCTGTGGGGAGACCTGAGAGCAGCCTTTCTGTATCTAACGGGGGGCTGTAAGAAAGGACAGGCTCATTATAAGGGTCTGCTGCAATAGAACAAGGGGAACTGGTTTCAATCTAAAAAAAGAGAAATGAGTCTGAATATAAGAATAAAGTTTTCCAGATTTCTATAAAAAGAGAGTTGAGGCACTGGCACAGGTTGCCCAGAGGGGTGGTGGATGCCCCATCCCCAGAGACACTCGAGGTCAGGCTGGATGGGGCTCTGAGCACCTGATGGAGCTGTAGGTGTCCCTATTGAAGGGGACTTGGATGAGGTGACATTTAAAGGTCCCTTCCAACTCAAACGCTTCTACGATAAATCAAACCCTCAACTACAAGCATCCAATGGACCCCTCTCTGAGAGCCACGTATTAGGAACAGGCATTCAGCATTAACATATGCAGGAAAACAACTGCAGGGATGCTTTGCCAGGGGAAAAAAATAAATAAAGAAATCCCTACAGCATATCAACAATGAATATTTGTATTTCACACATCATCTTGAACAGGAACTGTAGGTCCCCACGCCTGCTGAGGAACAGGAGGTAAAGGAGAGCACTGAAGCCATACCCAGAGGACACAGGGAGGCACAGGAGCCAAACGCACGGACACCGTGACCAGCCCCCCGCCCTCGGCGCCCTCCTGCCCCCCTCCAGCCCGGTGGGCCACGCTTCCCTCCCGCCGGCGGCTCCGCTCTCCCCCTCCCGTCGCCCGGCCCCATCCCCGCCTCTGCGGCCCCTCCGTCCCGTCGGAACCGAGGGAGCCGGTCCCAACCGCCTCGCCCCGCCCGCACCGGTCGCCGCCCACCCCTCCTCACAGCGCTCCCCTGCGCGAGGGCAAAGCGCCGATCCTCCCGCGGCACAGCAGAGGAGCGCGCCGGGCGTTGTAGTCTCCACCCGCCGCTTCTCCGCTCGGCGCCGGGCGCCGCGGGACTACGCTTCCCAGCATGCCCCGCGGCAGGCCGCCCCCACCCTCAGCCCACGGCCGCCCCCGGCGCAGCGGCACGGGCAGCGCCGTCGGGGCGGACGTTGTCAGGCCGCAGTGCCCCGCGGCTCCTCCGCGCCCTGAGGGAGCCGCCCCGCCATTACCTGGGAGGAGCGGGGTGCGTGTTCCCGGCGCCGGCGGAGCGGGGAGGGGGACGCGATCCTTTCTGCGCTCGAGCAGAGCGAGGAAGGGGGGCGTGGGGTCGGGGGGGGGGTCGAGCGATGGGTGAAGGGGGACGAGGGGAAGGAGAGAGGGGCGCGCGCGCGTGGCGGCGACGGGCGGTTGCCATGGCGGCGGGGCGGGGCCTCGTTCTGAGCCCGCCCCCGGGCGCGGCCTCCCCGCAGGGCGGGCGGTTCGCTCCCTGCCCGTGAGGGACGGCTCGGGGCTGGGCCGGGCTCGGCGGTGTGAGTTCGGCGGCCGGGATGTGCCGCTAACAGCCCGCGGGCTCGCAGCGGGAAGGGGCGCGGCTTTCCGGCCGGCTGCAAACAAAGGAAAAGCCCTCTGCGCCTGCGGGGGGCGGCGGGCGCGTCCTGCGTGCCTCCAGGGATCGCGCTGAGCTCGGAATGCGGAGCCGCTCTGCTTCCGTGTCGGCTGGCGGTGCAGCGGGGAGAAAGAAAATCCGCTGCTGCCCGGATAGGCACGCAGGAGGAGGCTGGATGTGGCCTTTGCTAGGGGGTTTCGTCGCCTCTGTGTAGTAGATGCGGGGAGTTGGCCGTTCCTTGGGCAGCGCTTGGTGACGGCGGATGGCCTTGCGGGGCATCGTCTGCTGAGGGTGAATGTTGTGTGCGTCACACGGGTCCTGTGAGCAGCCTGGTCTCCTGCGCAGGAACAGAGGCACACACATCTCTGAGGATGTAGTTTCACAGTGCGGGCCAGCCTGTGTATATTGCCACCAGATGGGCGGTCCTTTCCTTCCTTTCTGATCCTGGCTGGGCTTTCCTGTTTATTTACAAAGCGATAACCCTGATGTTGCCATCTGGTGAGGCGTGCCTGGGGTCCAACCCAGCTGAAAGCCAGTTATGCCTCTTCAAAAAACAGCTGGCTTTCAGCTGGGCCTACTCCTGAACGAGGTGACCCGACAGAGCTGCAGTGAGCACCAGGAGGATGGTGGTGGAGGCAGGAGGAGCCCACTGAGACCGCAGAAGAGCTGAGCTGCACTGCTGCAGTCACTCCCTGCTGCCACAGCTCCTGTGTGACAGTGCTGAGAGCATCCTGCTAATGACAGCCTGGTGATAGCTCCCGATGGCAACGTGATTTGTCTGGAAAATGTAAATTGTGATCTTAAGGTAGCAGCATGAGGTTGTATCTCACAGTAAGGTTCTCAGAAATGCTAACTGATGCAAGTGAAAGAGCAGGGATTGAAACTAGGTGCTGAGAGCACCACTTAATGCAGCATGTGTGAATGTGTCACTCATAGATGTACATATCTTGCTTCCCTGAAAATCATGTGGAGATTCTTAGGCCTTTTTGAGTATTTTAGAACTGGAGCCAAAACTCTGATGAATTCATAACAGCTGCAGCTCTGGCTTGCCCTTTTTCCAGTTTTCTTCAAACTTTCCTGTCCAGGACATCAATTCCTGCTGTTCTGTCACATACAAAAGCATTGATGCTGTGCGGACATTGGAGACCTCAATGCTTGTCAGGGAAAGCAGACATTACTCAGCCCTGTGCCACCATAATCCATTCTCACAAGACTTATTGTGCCTCTTATCACATTAGACAGCACATAAACTGCTTTGTCTGAGGCTCATATCTCTCATCTGGGAAACTGTGACAGAGAGAAGGTTGGTTAGTTAGTCATAACCTCTGTGTGTGTGTTTTTCCTTCAGTGTTTTCAGTAGTATTTGAGGCAAGTTGTTCTGCTTCCTAGTGGCATAGGATATCCTTGCTCCCATTGGCCTTCCTTAGAAGAGTAGTTACTGAACACAGTAATGATTCCTTGTCACTCTTGTTGGACCTCTCAGAGGGAAGGTCTGCTTTGGGAAGTGTCTGCACATTTTGCCAAGATCTGTGAAGTGGCAGCGGGAAGAGAACAACTTCAAAACCTAGCCATGCACATTAGCTGTATGTAAGGATTATAGGACAGTCCAGGCTGAAAGGGGCTTGGAAGGGCACTTAGTCCAGCCTCTTACTCTTTTCTCACAGTATGTCTGCATTGTCTTTGATATGAGAAATGTCAAAAAGAAGAAGGACTAACAGCCATCAGGAATTCATAAATTTGCTAATAACATAAAAGAATGATAGCCATGAGTGTGATTTTTTTATAGCTTTTACTGCTGCTGTGATCAAACAAACTCCAGCTTACCTGGCTGGGATAACCTAAGGATTATTACTTCCCTGACCGTCTGTTCTGCCTCTTGACTGAAGATTATTGCCTCCACAACAGTCCCAGGAATGGAAAGAGCAAATGTTTGTAATACATTTTAATATAAAATATGCCATTAAATTGATCTTTATCTACAGTTTGAGCTAATTTGTTGGACATCATATTAAAACAACTGGGACTCGTGCACGTATTTCATTTTACCAACTTGCTGTCTAACAGTGATCTCAGGCGAGGAGAGTGAAGCAAGTTTCTGTGTGAGGGTGATGCTTCACTGAAACAACTTCTACAGCTGGTGTATCCTCAGCTCTTATATCTTTTTATTTTCTTGATAAAGGCTATATACGTAGCAGCTTGGGATAAGAGATGATGCTGCTGGGTGTCAGTGGCTGTGGTTAGACAGGCTCCAGCTGTGATGGTGGAGAAGGGCATTACTCACAGCTGAACCCCAGAGACTTATCATGCCCCTTTGCAGCAATCTGCAAATCTGCCAGCTGACCTGATTGCATGCCCTCTTTCTCTGATTTATTCTAGTCAGTTCGGTCAGAAACTGATATAAATTAATGGAGCTCTTTTGCCGTGAACATTTGATTTGGTTCAAAAGTGTCTCTTAAGGTAGAATAATTGCAGACACTGTCAGATAAGTTTAAAGCTATTCACAGTTAGGGTCTGTGTCAGATTAACAAAACTGGTTTCTAAATTGATTTGGTTATCGTTACGTTAATTCCATAGACCATGTCTAACTTAGGTGGTTGGTGCAGGCTTTTAGCACAGAGTTTCTTCATTTGTAACCTTCTCCCACACACACACAAAGTTCTGCAGGAAAAGATTGAAAGCATGTGAAGGGAGATACCTATGAATTGTGAACTGCCGTTTGCTTTTGTCTTCTCTTCCCCTTGCAATTATATTTAACTTGACTACTGGAATTATTATGCCTTTGTAATAATGCTTAATGCTCACATGTAGACATAACTCTTTACCAAAGGTCTTATAGGTTACACTGAGAAATGCTGTAATAATAGAAGGTAAAAAACAATAGGGAGGCAATTGAGAAAAGAAGGAGGATGTTACATATTCATGGCTATTAACCTTCCAGGGGAAGTTATGCACAACTCAGTAAAGGCATCAGTAGATACACAGTGTTAATTTCTATGCACACATAGTAATTCTTCTCCTGCCTAGATATTTTTATTGGATGAAATTTATCATGTTGACACATCTACTCATTTCTTTTCTAGGAAACTCCATCAGAGCCTGAACCTCCAGAATTTGTGATGGAGTAACAACACAGAAGGATGTAGTCAACATCTTTCACACAAGGTACATCTCAAATGCCATGGATTGTTAATAAAAAGCAGTTCAAGGGAAAGCAGTTGAGATTTCCATTCTGCCAGAAAATGAGGGTAGGCATGGCCACTGGTTACTGTACTTAACTGTTCAAATGTAAACATCTTCTTTCTGACTTGTGTATATAAATTAGGCCAATGTCAGAAGAATAGAAAATATGGGTAGAAAAAAGGTAGATCTTTCAACTGTGTTGTAGCAAGTCCACAGTAAGTTGGAAAAAATGGTGATTCTGCTTTTAGTTTTTCGACAGGAATTAGGAGAATTATCAGAAACTAGGACATTGTGTTTCTTGGTATATTTGATAAGCAAAAGGATTTTGCACCTATATGCAATATGCTATATGCTATAGCATTTGGAGAAGGAGTAAGAAAGTAGCTGGCAGTAGTCAGAGAGGAAGACTTCAATGGAAACCTAAGAGAAAGTGGAACCAGGCCCATGAAGCTGTGTGTCACCGATTGTTACCTAAAAACTGGGATAGGAAAAGAAGAAGTTTATTCACATCATCCCAGCCCTGTGGTGCCTCACCAGATGGTATAAGGTGGCAGTTTCACAAATTTCATCTGTGTGCTATGGCTGACAACTAAGAAGTCGTCTGTGGTACACAATTAAGCAAAAAATGTTTGTTAGTATAACTCTTCCATGTTGAATTGTGGATTTTAGGCTGTGGTGCTAAAGATATGACAGTTCTGGAGTCTGTCCTTCTGCAGTAATTCTGAAACTTTTTGTATAATTTAATCTACATTTGACAGAAGGGTTGATGCCTTAATGATAACTGAGATTCTATTAGTTTTTAGTAAGTGGTGTGGTAGAAGGAATGGGCTCAGTTGGTGCTTCTGCTGAGCACAAGGTAGGCAGAAATTAGATGTTAAATATTTCACTTGGCAACAAGCTGCCCAGTCAGAATGCTTTCAGTGACCGACTGCTCCATGCATACTGCTGCTTGCAGCACCCACCTCTGTGCACAGCCGTGGTTTTATGCACGACCCATAGGCAGCTGTTTTGTTGAAGTATGAGTGCTGAGGGGAAACAATTACAAAGCCATAGGATACTAGCCTCCAGTGGTTTGAACCAAACAGTTATCTCAGTTGAGCCTGCTAACTCAGACACGGCTGTAAATTTAGGTCGTGCTGGTATATATTATTCTCCTTCCCCTGTAGATACTTCTCTAACTTAGAAGTGGCAGTTTCAAATTCGGGAGCAGTTGTGCAGCTTTTTACACACTGCTAAGGTGTCCTAACCAGTGGAATAAACAAAGCACAGTCTAATACATATTAATGGCTTGTCCAGCGTATTCGATTTATTAGGTATTTTAGTTCCAGCTCTGCAGTGTGAGATATTAGAAGATGAATTGGCTTTAACAATCCACTCCTGTAAACACATTCATCCAGAACAGAAGGTAGCTACATATAAAGAGTGTTCTTCAAAGTATCAGTAATCCTTTTCAGGGTTGTCTTGAACATCCCTTTGAATAATAGTGTGATCAATGGCAGTGATGGTGGTTATATTTGGAACATTTGAGAAACAAATTGTGCTCTGGTATTTACGCAAGTATCAGGAATCTGCAAGTCAGGAGTGCAGAAGGTAAGCAAACCAATGGCCATGCATTTGTATTGACAAAACGACTTTTGTCATTCATTGAGAACTTCTTACTTCCATTTAGCAATAAGTAAGCAGTTCTGAGAGAATAGGAGCAATGTAGTAAATGGCAAAATATAATTAGTAATGAAAATTTAGCCAAAATTACTAATGAATTTTTAAAAAGTGCTTAAGGAGAACAAAAAAAATAAATAAGATATGCTAGTCATCATTTCAATAGTCATGTTTCCCCATTCTGGTCTTCTAGTATGATTACTGTAAGGAATATACTGTGGTTTCCATGTGAACAACTTAATCTGCTTCATATTTTGAGGGAAAAAAAATGGGAATCTTTTTTTAACTGTAAAATTTGGGCTGTACTTGCAAGATGTGCATTTGTTAACTGTTCATTTATTTAATAAATGAGAAACAATTGTGTCAGTAGAGGGTCAGTAGAGGGTCAGAGACACAACTGCATCTCATAAAAGAACAGGCATTGTTATCATAGCTTTGGTTAAACTTATTTTAAATTATTATAGCATCCCATTCACATTCTTGGAGGGAATATTCACTGTATGCATTTAAACACACAACTTAGATGCCTAATTTAGGAGGCTTGTCTCCCCAGATGCCTTGCATAGTTGGAGGAGTGAGAGAGGCTCCTCCAGAGAGCAATTCAGACTATGTTAGTGAAGCTTCGGCTCTGAATTATCATCTGGAGGAGCCTCTTCAGCTTTGAGAGCTGTTCTATGCTATTCTTTGCGTCTTTTCCTTGGCAACAAAACTGAGTGAACTAATCTCCACCCCTCAACACTTGCTTATCACTGTCACTTGTGCCAGCACAGCTGTTTATGCGGTGGCACTGGCAGCTAGGTTGGTGAAAGACATTCTGAGAAAGAAGATGTTGCTTTTAACACAGACCACACCTCTGATCTGGTTTATTGTTTGACTTTGTAAACGATTTAACTTGCATGCCTGAGGAAGTGATGAGCTTTAGCAAGAGTCAGAAATGAATTTTTGAACTTGAGGACCTGTCTGCTGAGCGTAACCTCAGGAACAAATGTATTCAGCTTTGGGGTTTAAGTTCAGGAGACCAAGTCCTTTATCAAAGCATCATTCTGTTCACGTACGTTATTTTTATATCAGTAGTGTTTCACAAATATCCTACAAGTGTTTTGATGGTTTGCATCACTGTAAGAAATGTATAATCTAACCTTATATATCTGTTACTTGTGTAAAAATGGCTGTAGTTTACTAACAAAAAAGCATGTAGTATTTAGAAACGTACCAGGAAGAGGTGTGCTACTATATGAAGAGAGCATATGAGCATACATGAGAGCATGGTGTAGCCACTAACATAGAGCAACTGCAACCAAGTTAGGGTAGCTGAAGAAGTTCCCCACCTTTCATCAAACACACTAAAGGCAATTTACTTCTGTGCATGAGTAATTGCCTTAGATTATTTTCAAAACCATTGGAAAGCCTGGCCTTTTGAGTAGTGCTTCAGTCAACCTCTGTTAGATATATGCTATAGGAAAAAAATGAAGCAGTCCTATGAAGTCCAGTTTCTCTCCCTTGGCTATGAAGGGAGGTGAACTGCCTACGTCAGTTATGAAATAGCTGTGCTGGGCCAGCTGAATCCCACCCACGGACAGCACGGCTGTTCCCCATACATAGCACCACAGACTGCAGGGAATGTACTGACCTCTAAAACCACTCACAGTTGGCTGCAAGCATGACAGACTAAAACGTCATTTTCTGATCATTAAAAATCACTCCACTTCTGAGGGATTCAGTGCCTCCAGTGACCATTGCTCAGACACTTCTGCTGTCTCTAGCAGTTAAGACATTTCATGTTGTTACTGTATTACTATCATGTTTTAAAAGTGTCCTCTTAAAACAGTTAGGAATGCTGGCCACAAACCCAGTGAGGTGAGAAATTTGTTAATAAGTTTTAATAGTTAATAATTTTTACATGGCATCTTGGGTGCTGCTTTTTAAAGTCCTGTAGCCATCAGGATAGATTTCTTAATAACCTGTGAAGAGATTGTTTAGTTATATATTTATCCATGACCTTCTGTAACTTGACCTGGCTAATTGCTTTTTCTGGCTATAGTCTCACCTCACAGTCCTTCTCCATGAAAGTAAGAATGAAAACATTCATAAAGAATCACTGGCTCAGCCCCAGCTGCAGAGTACTGCTGCTGACTGCTCTGCCTGTGCCACATAGCCCTGTACAGAATCACAGAATGGCCAGGGTTAGAAGGGACCTCAAGGATCACGAATCTCCAACCCCCCTGCCACATGCAGGGCCACCAACCTCCTCATTTAATGCTAGACCAGGCTGCCCAGGGCCTCCTGTACACTGGATCTTATCTGTGTACTTTGTGGTATCTGCCTGGTCCTGCAGCAGAGTTGTTATTTTAATGTATTTTTCAGCTTAGAGCGTGATATGTGAGGGCTGTACAGCATCCTGCTAGAGTGGTGGTGTTATAACTTGAAATGTAGTATTAAATGCCCTGTGGTACAAGTGAGGGCGTTTGGAGGGGGGGGTTTTGAACCCACTGGGACACTGTTGCACAACAGCAGGGATCCAAGGATACCCGGTATGACATTCTAGGCTTTATTGTCACCTAGGAGTAGTCCTGCAAATGAACTACCCAAGATTCATGCCTTATCTTAAAGGCAAGACCTGTATCCAAACAGATCACAAAGGAGAAAGTTGACAGTTCAGCAGTGAGGATGCTCACCTTCTCTTGGCCGTGTTGTAGATACAGTGTAGATGTTTTAAGTGCCTAGTTTAGTTCTATGATGGAGTGAATAGGACATAAGCACATAGTTTCATACAGGTTAACTCAGTACATACAGTAGCTGTAAATAGACCTTGAAAACAGAAGTGGTTAATACCATATATTGCAAGCATCTTAGCATTTCGTACATACTGCTGAAATAAAGCCACTTACATTCCTGGTTAGTAGCTCTACCTGCAACTCAGCAGAGCTTTGACTGGCTCTTAGATCTAAAAATAAAATTCTCCTTACTGAGATACCATATAATTCAATGATAGTCTCAGTAGGGAGGTAGTGGAAAAGTGGAGTAGATTAAATTAATTGTAGTATGGAAGCTTTTCATACATTGTGTGGGATGCTTATATTCTTCATGATAACATATGGTATCCAATTGTAATGTGATAAAATTACTAATGCAGGACAATAAATACCATCATGATTAGGTGTTACAGGTCCCACCTCATATGTGCAAAACAAGTAATTATAGCTGAAGTGAATAATGGAGATTGGACTGTTGTATCTAGGAATACATTTAAAAGGACACAATGTTGTTATTAAGGGTGGGAGTTGTCTTTTCTGACTTTATAGATTCAGTAAGGTGTCCACTCT